TTGGCCAAATTGTCATTGAGGGTAAAAAATGAATTTATTATGAGAATTGAAAATGGAAAAAAATTGTAACTTGATTCAAGATGGTTTTCAATATGTCAGCATAATGGAACCTTCTGTGAAATGTTTTTCTTATGCTTCATGAGATTCAGTAGAAAAATTCTTTATTACAATTGTTGAAATCTGAATAAACTGTTACTATACAATGCTACAATGAGTCATAGGCTTGTTTGATGCACTGCAACAGGAAAAAAAAACAATTTTTTTCTTTAGGCAACAAAGTTGTCATTTAATTGCAGTGAAAATAAGATGTAGCAAATAATTATGAGAAGTTTTTCTGCATGCAATATATTCTTCAAACCTCTCATTTTCAGATTATTACTTGTTTTTTTTCCATGCAACACTCCTTTTCTGGTCAGCACTTTCAGAAATTTCAAAATATTATATAATTACTTGAAGAATTAATCAAATCCAAAGTAGAATCATGGTAGAATACACAAATTTATTGAAATGTGGCATAAAGTCATAGAAATCCAGAGAAAATAAAATGAATTTAGATACAAAAATTATTTTATTAAAAAAACTTGTAGAAACTTCTGCATCAAACTAATTGTCTGGCTTAAAAGAAGTTGGTTGCAAAAACTATAACCCAATTTGTTTTACAAGGCATAAATTTTCAACATCTACACATATTTACTCTGAGTAAAAAAAAAAAAAAAAAAATTACATGTGGGCTGCAAATCCCAAATAAATTATGTTTCATTTTCATGAGAAGAATGAAGATTTGTACTTCAAATTTTTTTTTGTGCAAATTCAATCCACAAAATGCTTTGCATCTAATTTGGAGGAGTTGAAACCACTTACTTCTTCTTTATCTACAGTGCCCAGCAGGAAATTGATCAAATGATTGAATCCTTTGCGGAAAAACATATGAATGCATGCTTTGGTTCCCTGAAAGACAAGAAAATTCATAAATTTTGCTTGTGGAAATAAAAGACAGAATAGAAAAGAAAAAAAACTCCATGTTTTAGGATTATAACATTGGTTCTTATTTGGACCACAAAATCAAGAAACCTCTGCTTCCTGTTTTTGTTGTCCAAACAGGAACCAAGGTTTGTACTTGACAGGAAATCCAGATTTTAAAATGAGTCAAAGATCCTTTTGAGATCTTTTTTTTCATACTATAATGATGATAGTTATAAATTCATCACAGTATACAAATTCATGAGGAATTTCACTTTGCTTGTTGATTCCAAACAGTAAAAGAGCAACTTGAAGAATTAAAACTAATCACAACTAGGAAAAACCAAATATTATCCATAATGCCATAAACAGGTCTGAAGAGTGTTTAGTCATCCATGATTATTTTAAGTCCAAAGATAGGTCACAATGTTGATGTTTACTAAACCAAGATTAATCTAAAGTCAAATGGTGAATTAAATGGAGACAAAACTCACTAACAATGCCTTGTGAGATGAACTTGTTATGTATTGCTCTATGGTAGGAAAACAAAAATAAAAATTTTTAACCAAAAAAAAAAAATCTTTAGAAAATAATCTGAATAGACTTTTCCTATAAATTTTGATTCAAATTTAAATCCAAATCATTGTTGGATTTGACAATTTCAGGCCTGATTAAATGCTTGAATAAATTCAAGATGAAATAGGGAATGTTTTCAGATGTGAAAAAAAATAGGATAATAATCCTGTTATAGGAATTTTAAATCACCGTATTCACATATCATGGGAGCAACAATCTGTACTAATATTTTTAGTAACAGTCTGTCTTAATATTTTGAAATTTCTATTCCATTGGTTTGTGACACCATCATGACTGATAGTTTGGAATTAGGGTTAAAAGGGTTCATGTGAAAACCCCATATAGAATTAGAGAATTGGAAGGGTTGAAAACATTAAAAAAGAAAAACTGAAAAACAGGAATTGAAATATGAAGTGAAAAAAAAAAAAAAAAGAAAAAAAAGAGAAATGGAATGTGAAGTCCAAAATATGGTTTGGAGAAATGTAAATAATCTGGAGTATGTTTTGAAAATGGACAAAGTATTATTTAGGTTGTACTGATAAACTGACAAAAAAGATTCTTACAGTTAACTGTTTTGTTTATTGAATGTCATTCAAGTCCAGGAAATGAATTTTGGTAAAATCAATGGGATTTGAAATTGGGTCATATTTAGGAATTGACAAACAAAGAGAATTTTTTGCAGAATTGAAATAAATTTTTAAGCACAAAAATTTATTAACGTAAACAATAATTGTTGGGTAAGAGGAATCTGGAGACAAAGTTTATTGTTTTGAAATACCAGACAACTCTTTGTTTTAGGGTCAATGTCATGTCTCCAGAGTTGGAGAAAATAATTGATGAATACGTAATGAGCTTTAAGAGGTGGTAAGAGTTGAGTGAGATGCATATAAACTGAACGATCAGTTGAAGCCATCAGTAGCAGTTTCAAGAGGTGACCAGAAGCCACAAGAAGGCGAGCAGAGGGTGCCAGAGGCTGGCAATGGCTAGGAGAGACTGGAAGAAGCTATGTGGCCAGTTGTCAAGAGAATCACTGGTGTTGAGCCGACTGAGAGAATTGCTGACATTGAGAATTGATGATGAGAATTCTCAACAACCTAACACCTTGTGTGGATGTTTCACCTGCTCCAAGTTTTAGAAGCAAGAGATACGGTGTCACGATAGAGTGTCAAATGGGAACGTTTAATTTTGTTGTATCAACGATTATATAACCAATCAAAAATTAACTCAGCAGCCTTCATTGTTATTTGTGTTTTCACTGGTGGAAGCATTTTTGTCCTTTTTCATAGCACAGTTCCACCAACTTGAGTCAGCGCTTAAGTTTGGAAGGAAATACGATCTTCACTGCACTGTGATGAAAGAACACAATGTGGGCAGGGCAGATGAAGGAATGAAGTTGACTGACATCAGTACTGACCAGCATGAGAACAACCTGGGATTGAGCTGGGCTGGTTGTGTTAAAGGCTGCTACTTTCTTTTTCCTCTTTTAAACTGTTTTTCATTTCCCAAGTTTAAAAAAAAAAAAAAAAAAAAAAAAATGATAGCTTTTTGTTAATTTTTTTCTTTTTTTATCTGGTAATCATTCTGTTGATTAATTGTTCATCTTCAGGTGTGATTCAAGGGGATAAATCATTCTATTAGGGTTTTAATCTTAACCCAAAACAAAATACCATGTATTCATGTTTTACCCATTCCCACATCCAAACATTATCATTGAGAACTTGTGGCAAATTGTTCTCTACGTGTCTATGAGCTGCACTGCTCCATGGCAGGCACTAAGCCTCAGTATGAAACCTCCTCATCTGAGTTGTTAACAAGACTAGGTATTGTGGATATAACATCAGTGTTGTGCACACATCATCTTAGGGGTTTTGGTCACATCGAATGATCTTCGTCTTGCATCAGAGTTCAGAGTTCCTGGTCATAGAGGCTGAGGTAGAGCTAGGAAGATGTGAAAGGGAGGGATGTGCAGGAGTGTGGCCTTGACCACATTAACTTGCTTGACTGGGATACTCAGAAAGAGGAAGTGAGAGCTAGATGACTGCTGCCTACCCCAGTCCCTGGGAAACTGGCAGCAGTATAATCAAGGCTCCAGATCTTGACTAGGAAAAGGTAAGATTGGGTTAAGATATTTGTATTTAATGACACTTCAACACCAGACTTTTGTATTGTACCAGGAAAGGAAAAGGTATAGAATAGAGATGAACAGGATCAACACAGTTCTATCACCCAAAGATTTTAGCATTTTTTCTGAAAACCAGACTAGTTTTCTAAACACATCATTATGAATTTGTGAGAAAAATCATTCATGTAATCAACATGCCTTGAATTGATTCATAAAGAATTTGTATTCAATTATATTATTGTTTGTGAAAAGAAAAACTGTTTGGTCTACACTTCCATTCTTTGAAAAACCATGACTTGCCACCTTATCTCTCTGCAGTTTAAATCAATGCCCTACCCCCTCTTCCTCTATCCCTCATATTTGGTTCTGTTCATTTGTTTCAAATGTGAAGAGTTTATTTGTGAAAATAAAAATAATTCTGAAGATGTTTGGGAATTTTCAGTTTAAGGTGTACAAGAAAAGAATCAGTGAAAAATAAAAACATTATTTTTTATAGATTCATTCTTCTCCAACACACACGTACATGTACAGAAGCACATTTTTTCTATGACACAATAAATTCTATCCTCGGGTTTGGTGAATAATAATATTTTTTGTCAGTAAGAAAATGTCTTACCATTTGCACGTAACTTTTGAGGACCAAAAAGTACTGAATGCAATTTTTGATGTTGTCAGGTAAATCTTTATTAAGCATTTGCAGTAAATGGCCAAGGATGTTATCAAAAGATTTATGGGTCTGAAAGAGAAGAGAAAGAAATCTTTAAAAACAAATTGTACTTGATGACCCAAACCAATACTGATTGGAATGGGGTGGTGTCCCTGTTAAATAGATCAAAGATCACCTCCCCTCCATCCCAACAACAATAATGCTATACAAGTTTTCAATTGCTGCCAGAGAAAAGCCACTCCTTATCTGCAGGTAATATCTCTCAATCAAAATAATATTATTTCATGTGAGACTATGCTCTATATTTAGATAAGATTTTTTTTGTGTGTGTGGAAGTATGTTTTAATGGATTACAATAATCAATAATCTATTTACTGGGAAAAAGGTAATAATTGTGGCAACATAATAGAATTCATACCTTTGAGAAGAAAGAATGAAATATTAAACAAGTTGAGCCATGTTATGTTTTGGGTGATTTAAGAGTCACAAACACAAAATACCTGCTTTTCTTTAACGATCTTAACACCTGTAATTTGACAGATATATATTTTTCCTTAAAAAAATGAATCAGTTTTACATATTACTTGGTGTGGTGGCTATTTATCAGTGTAAAGAAAGTTTTTTTCATTAATTTGTACACAGGATCTGAAATGTGGAAAAAAATATATAAAGTTTTTTTGTAAAGCTTCAAAGAAAGATTTGCATGGCTGAAATGCCAAAAAAGTAAAAATTCAAATTTTTTTTTTAAAAATAATTTCCTATCCAAATAAAAAAGGTGTGAGAATAGAAGAGACTTACAGCAACTCCTCCATGTTGAAAAAAACTACTCATCATTCGTTCTAGAATCTTTGCCATTGTCAGCCGGACATCTTTGTTAGGGCACTCAAGCAAGAAAGACCTGAAATAAAAAACAAGTATAAATTTCGGAATAGTTTCAATCCCTGTAAAAAGAACTGACAATGAATTTATTAAAGTATCTAACAAGTATAAAATATTACAAGCAGTGAACATTTTGTCACTTCTATCAACAAACGGTGAATAATTACTTATTGTACAGAGAAAAGGTTGGTAAGTTGGCTTTGAAGAGCCCTCCCCACAACAAAAAACCCAAAAAACATCATGTTGATCAATTAAACTGATTTTACTTGAAATGATCTATTCTCTGAAATAGTAAACATTTCCATTTTGAAGTTTAATGGCCTCTTCTACATGAAAAAAGTTATTTTTGTCAAGCTTTCAAGATAAGGAGTCACTGCAAAATTGAATATAAAGATGTGAGACTTACTTGATAAAAGCATAACCTTGTTCTCCATCCATAAATTCAACCAACCACATGCAAGCATCTTTGCATCGACTCACCAATGTTTCTATCACAGTCACCCAATCATCCAATTCGACTCTGAAAGAAAGAAAAAAAAAAAAAAAAATTTTAATTAGGAAGTTGCTGACCTTTATGTATATTGTAAGCTGTTGTTGAAATCCGAGCTAATCATGTTTGATAAAGGGTTGAAATCCAAATCAGTTTTAATCAACTGTCAAATGTGTTCATTTGCAATCAATGTTTTGTTGAACATTCAATTTAAACTGGATGAAATAATCAAATGTTATGTAAAGATGAAATTTAGGTTTATTTTTCTTTATTTGCTATCCAATCACCAGGGGATTTATTTTTCATATCAAAAAAGGAGGACGAGTCACTTCATTATTTAATCTAATACCAAGGAATTATTGCTTTTGTATGTACTAGGTAAAGAAGATTTGCACAGCATCACCATCAAATCTTTCCATTCAATTATAAAAGATTTAAAACAAAAAGAAATTAAAAAAAAAAAAAAAAAAAAATCAATATACCCCCCTCCCCGATCTCTAAATCTATTCTAATCTAAATTGAAAATAAAATAATACAGAGCAAAAAAACAAAAAACTCATTTTCTGTTTTTGTAAAAAAAAAAAAAAATTTGATTTTTACAGCTAAATTTTCAGTTAAAGGGTGTCCAGGTAGACTTGAAAAAGGAAATTGGTGAGTGGTGCTTAAATGCCAGCCTAGTCTGCGGCATTCACTTTTGAATGAATGTCCTTGGGAAAAGCATGAAACCATTTCTTCTTCTCTCAGCTATTGGTTAAATAACAGCAGACTGAACTCTCTATCAGTGGTTGGCAACCAGTATGAGAAGAACAACTCTGAATTTAAAGTCCCCACCTTTGGAAACTGGGTGTATAGCCCTGGCAAGGCTGATACAATACAGCCATTGACAAATTATGGAGTTTACAATTAACTGTATGATTGTAGACTATGATCTTGACTGAGGTAAAAAAAATAAATAAATTTCTCTCTCTCTCTATATATATATATATATATATATATATATATAAATAAAAAATCAGGGTAAAAACAAAAAAAAAAAAAAAAAAAAAAGAAATATTTGAAAAGATAAAAATTGGTTTGTACCAATTTGTTGAACTTACTTTACTTTCAGTTTTGCCCGAAAATAAGTGTTGAATAAAAATTTCATGCCCAATTGTAATGATTTTTCACAGAGATTGGCATTGGCTGTAGCATCATCATGAGGCTGGAAATCAAAGAACAAAACGGACTTAATTCTGTTCAGCATTTGGACTTCTGGATTTGTTTCCGTTTTAAATTATTTTGTGAGCTTTAGAAAAAAATGTCAGTAGAAAAGTCAAAACACATCTGGAAAAGGTTTATACTGGATAATTGGGTTCATGTCTGCAAATAAGCAGTTCTGATTTTGTTGGGTTGAGAAAGGTGGCCATTTCAGATGCATAAAAGAGACAGTAAGACACTGGGCAATAAGAAATATTCACTTAAGAAATATTGAGTTCATCAAGTAAAAGAAGCACACACAGAAATCTTCATTAAGAATTCTTTTTGCATCTCATCTGTACAAATGGTGAATTTAAAAAAAAAAATTTTTTTCAGTAAATATTTCAAAGAGAGCAAATTCTTTTCTTTTAGTCATCTCTCATCTAATATTGACCTATCTGTGACCTGATATATTAAAATTACACTTTTTAATATTAAAAAAACAAACAAAAAGAGCAATGTCAGGTTAAACAAAAAACAAAGAAAAAAATTGTGCAAACAGACTGAATATTACATGTTTTGCAAGCAGGGTGGAAGGTTTTTTTTCTGTCCTTGAAGCCAGTTATGTCTGGAACAATGTTGTGCTACAGTTGAAGGGGAATAAACACTATGTGTTTTTATGCTTACTGGGCCTTATGAGAGTCATGGTCTGGACGACGTGACAGAAAGAATTTCATGGTGAAAAGTTTTCCTCTTCCCAACTGATTTTGTTCTTTAAGCATACCAGCTTATGGTCAAAATTAGAGCAGAGAGGAAGCAACTCTTTTCAGCAAAATTCACCAAAAAGGTGGGTGAATTTTTTGTGCTTGGTGTGCTAATTTAGAATAGTATCTGGACGTGACCTAGAATAAAAGGATATTGACTGTCTGGACATTTGTCATCCCAGTCTGGTGCAGGATTAGCTTAGGTCATTTCTCTGATTTTAACTTAGCTAGGGTATAGATGGCTTTTGTTTCCTTTGTTTTAGTTGTTTTTTTTATCTGGTTTATTCTATTCCCTATTAGGTGACAAGGATTACAGTTGTCTGGTAATTGCAGGATGTTTTGAGCATATGTTTTTTGTTTTATTTATTTTCATAATTGTTATTATATTTAAATGTGTGAGTAGTAGAGCAAGTGATTGTATGTGTATGTACCCAATTATACTCTAATCCCAAAGTATTTTTCATCCAGTTAACTGTCATCTCTGCCATGATAAGACTGTGGGTATTTCCCCTTAGTAACACTCTTTTTGTTTAATTGTGTAAATACTTTCATTTCATGAACATTAGGGAAATATTTTGTTTAATTTTATCAACCATGCCTTCCACAAAGTTTATACATATGGGATTAGGTAAGAATTCTTAGAGCAAATGTGGCATTATTGTATGGATTAGACAGTGTTATGTAAAGGATTTGTTTTGGTGAAAGGATCAATATACGATTGATTGGGTCAATGATTGAGGCTAGCTAAGTTATCGATAGGACAAATGAAGACCAACCTTCCACTTCAACATTTTGCCTTTGTGGTATATTTGTGCAATAAATATTTGGCCTGAAGATTGTGTTGCAGCATGAAACAGACTGTTGCCACTTGGTGTTGACTTCAGTATCCACTTTTATATTTACATACTCTTTATCTCCGATATTGAGCACTTTTACCCATAAATATAACATACCTTAAAATTATATTTGTAAATTAAATACAATTAGGTATCCCAGACTAAAATTTTATTTTCAATATATCTAAAAACCTGTTATACAGATAGAGATTTTGACAAAACAAAAAAATGGTATCAAATTCATCTTGGTAGCTCAATTAGCAATGAAGTTATGACCATTCTAAGTTTTCCATCTTGTGTGCTATGGGAGCAGAAGCTAATTTCAACAGTGAATAACTGAAGATGAGGCTTCAGACTAGTTAGAAATCATCATAAATGTAATGTCATTATAGATTAATATTGATGGAATCAATAATTATTAGATCAGACCAGCTAAAATATTAGGACAACTTCTTAAAAACAAAAATAGTTAAAAAATGACACAGAAGGGAAATTTTGACTGTTCACATAAGTTTCAATTCAACTTCTTGCTGTGATTTATATAGGACAAAAGAAATGAAGCTATTTTTTTTTCAATACTACATCAATATTTACATGTGCATGTACAAACAGCCAGAAATACAATTTGACAACAGGTTAAAAGTATCCAATGGAGGTACATGTTGAAAACTTCGAAATTTTACTAATTATGGGATGAAGAATTCAACAGAATTTCTCTTTAGTATAAATAACTTTTCTCATACATGTATCTAATTATGGAAAACTTTGTCAAAATGCTTATTGTAACACTTTAAACTCATTTACCTTCAAACTAAAACAAATGAAATGAATAAAAATACATTTATTGGAACTGATGAGAAAGACTTTCTGGACAGTTGGAATGGTAACTCCTGAATTTCTTCTTCTAATAGTGATTTGCAGTCTGAACTTGTTTATAAGCTTCTGCTATAGCCAATATACTGTCATCACTTTTCAAAGAGGTAATCAAATGCTGATGCAACTTGTGCAATATCATCCAACAAAAATAATCATTTCTGCCTTTATTTGGAACTAAGACTTTATAAATTTCAACTGACAGCAGTAGTAGTTGCTTGGTCAATGAATGCCAAATGTTTCCTTATAAGGAAACGGCTAAGAATTTTGAGCAGGAAAGGGTTTTAATTAACATAGTAGTTTAACTCTTCCAAATAAAAATGAGATCACCTTTTCAGTTTTTGAATGATTCTGAATAAGATTTTAGGAGATAAAAAATATCCTCCAGAAATTTAGCTCTCAGAACTCAAACACACCTTATTATATTGATTTCAATAATACTTGATTTTTTTTCTTATATAATATCCCTATTTTTAAATGTCAAAACCAAATGATTAAAACCAAAATCTAATCTCTTTCTGCTTACTGCCTAAGAACATTCCTTGACCTTTAGTAAAATTATATATATATATATATATATATATATATATATATATATATATATGCAAATGATAGTATAGTGTATGGGTGCACCTCCAAAAATAGTTATGATCACAGCCTAACAGCTGATCTCTCTCTTGATCTAGCTCTCACAGCTCAGTGAGGGAAAGACTACATTGCATTATCCAATACCTCCAAAGCAAAGTTAGAAATATTTCATCACCACTGAATAGATCCTAAATTTGCTCCAGTCCTGATGAGTGGTCACTCAAATGAGACAATTGAGCAATAATCATAGCTAAGGATCAGAAGCTTGTGAGGGATTGAAATTAAATTTTAATATATATTCCAGGATCATTTTCCAACTTATTCACCCTCTCTAACATTCTAACTTTCTATCCTGGAGTAACAAGATGCCTCATATGTTTCACATATGATTACATTTTCAAGTCTTTTTTCACTGCTCGTAGCTGAAATTCCTCTCTCACGTGCCAAACATCTTATGGATTGAGTTGGATCTTTTCTAATTGATCCCTTTAGCTCTAAGTTCAAATGATGATCCCTATTTCTCTTATGACCTCCCGATTCAGTTTTCCTCTCCACTGTTTCCTCTTTTTTAAACTTATTCACTATTCTCTTGATGGTTCTTGAATGGACTTTGAAGATGGAAGCCAGAGTATGAATGTTGGTACCATTACTGAAGTCCTGAATAATTATTCCTCTCACCATTGCTCAATTGAGAAGACAGTGAGTTTGACACAAAATGATTTTAACCACTTTTATTTCTAGCTGAATAATTCAAAAGCTTTTTCAGTGATTCTGGAAACAAGTAACTCAATTAGTTTATTGGTTTTTTAGATATTAAACATTTTGTGGTATGGACAATTATGCTGTAACATGATTCGGACAATTTTGATGTTACACCCTTATATATATATATATATATATATATGTGTGTGTGTGTGTGTGTTTTGTGTATTATGGCAGCAATCCCATTTTTTATACAAGTTTCATTGAAGATGATTGCCAAGGTACTGAGAGTAAGATTTTTGTTTAATTTTTCTTGTGTTTTCTTTTCTGGACATTTCTGGTGTGTAAAAATAGTCCAAATGCTCTGTATATTCAAGTGCTTTAAGCTATTCTTTTAGCCATTATCAAGGAGGATTTTTATTTTTAACTGAATTTATGGATTTAAAAAAAAAAAAAAAAACTCTCCTTAACTTCACCTATGAACTTAGTCAAAAAAAATAAACTCCCATTCTTAGATGTTCTTGTAGAATTCAATAGTAACACAGTCACTACTTTGTTATACAAAAAACCCACTATTAGAAACACTTGTTGTCTTAAATTTATGAGTGAATGCCTTCTTAGATAAAAAAAATAGGCATTATACAAAATTTCCTCAAGAGAGCACACGAGAATTCATCCTCTCATCCCCTTTTCCTTAAATAACACAATGTGAAACAGATGCTAGTTAACAACAATTTTCTGAAATACCTCATCAATCACCACTATTTCTTTCTAAAGTAATAACAATTATCAACATACAGATAAAAACAATAATATAAACATTTTCTATAAAAGCCAAATACATGTTAACTATAAGCAAGATGAATTTTCTCTTAGAAACTTTATAAAGAAATACACAACCTCAGCCAATCAGAACAAAAAATCGAGAGATATCAAGACCGAAGGAGGTGAAAATGAGATAACGGATTTATTTCTTGCTACAAAAAATACTGGAAGCTTTACAAAGTAGTAACATGGGTTTAGAGGTTAGTGTTGAATTTTTACAACAGTTTGAGTTGATTAAGGAATTTAATCAACCAAAAGAAGAATTTGAGGCATACAGGACAAGCACAACCAAGTCTATAATTAAATGTAGATACTGTGAAAAAAAATCACAAGAGAGACAAGTACAAATGTCCTGTGTTAGGAAAAGTATGCTGAAATTGCAAAAAAAAGAAAAAGAGACCATTTTCAGAATATATGCAAATACATAAAGAAAATAGAAAGAATACAAAAAATACCAGCCCCATCCGAAAAGGAGGCTGAAATATTTATTTATTTAACTGGACAAAAGAGCAAACTATTGCTTTAGAAACAGTAAAGAAAATGCTGAGGAGCAAACCAATAATAAAAGTTTTTGATCCACAAAAAGAAGTAACATTAACCACAGACGCAAGTAAAAAGGCGATTGCTGCTATCGTATTGCAAGAAGAACACCCAATCATGTAAATATCAAGTAGGTTATGGCCAGCTGAGATTAACTACTCGAATAAGGAAAAAAAAGCATTGGGGATTATATGAAGCATGGAAAGGGCACAAAATTTTTTGGTATGAAAGAAATTCTTATTAAAATTGGACCACAAACTATTGGAATTCATATTTAAGCTGATAAAAGAATTGCCAACAGTAACATCGTCAAGGATTTTGAGATGGGCGATAAAGATCATGGCATTCAATCTTGACATAATATGTGTAAAAGAGGACACTGTCCCTCATGTAGATGCGTTATGAAAATTGCATTTCAAGAATGAAGCTGAACAAAAACAGGAAAAAGCAGAAAACAAAATAATACACTGGGTTGAAATGGATGTTCTTCCTCTAAATAGACTCAAAATAGAGATAGAGCAAGACCCAGTATTAAGTAGAATAGTGGAGAGAATAAGAAATAATGTATGAAGCAATTGTTCGATGGTAGAGCAACCCTTTAAAGAAACGAAGTACAAACTGACCATAGAAAATGGTATAATATGCAATGGAGATATAAATTGTAGCTCCACAAATACTGAGGAGGGATATATTAAAAGGAGTGCATGATGATGTACATTGTGGCATAATAGCGACGCAAAAAGACTAAAGTTGCAAGCTCGGTGGCCAGGATATTCAAAAGATGTAGAGGAGTATATTAAGAGATACCCAAAATGTGCGGAAATAAAAAATTTCAAGCAAAGAAAAACTCACTCATGGCCCAAGGAAATAGAGCCATGGGTTAGGGTCCACATGGATCATGCATATATCAAAGATAGAGGATTGTTCTTAGTATTAGTGGACTTGTATTCAGGATGGCCAGAGGCTGTCAGATTAAAAGACAGAAAAGCCACCACAATAAAGCAAGTACTAAGAACAATATTTTTAAGGAATGGAGTACCCCAGACACTAGTCGCTGACAATGCACCTGAATTTTGCGATGAGAATTTATGTGCGTGGTTGAAACAGATAGGATGTATCCCATACATGACACCACCATATCATCCACAATCTAATGGCATTGTAGAAAGAATGGTACAAACAGTGAAAATGGGGATAAAAGCATTCTCACCACTTAATGAAAGCCTAGAATTGTATTTACTAAAAATGCTTCTCATTTTTAGATCCATTCCACATGCAGGAAGAAAGCTGAGCCCTTCGGTATTAATGGGCAGACAAATCAGAGCCTCCATAAGTATGTCCTTTTCAACAAAAGAAAATGTATGGTATAGAAAGAATAAAGAGGCTGAGCCAGAACAAGCAAATTTCCTGATACAAAAAGGACACTACACGGCTATACTTGAGAAAAAGGAACAAAATATAATAGTACATGCGGATCAATTCACAAGCAGAAACAAATTGGATGATGTGGAAATTGAAGATCAAGAGGAAGAAGAGACAGATAGCCACAAAAATGGAACAGAGCAGGAAATGGAAGAAAGTGAGTGTGAAAAGATGGACGAGAAGAAAAACCAAGATCACCATTAAGAAAAAGAAAGGAAAGACAAGAGGAAGGAGAGCACAGTACAAGAGTAATCAGAAATAGTAGTAGAATAAACAATGGTGTCTGGCCTTTTCAGTTCAGGGAGGTGTAGTATCATATACAAATGAGAATGACAACATAGAGAGCAGAGGGTGAACAAGGCAATCATCAGCGAAACCCATTTACTAAATGTAACATGGAGAACTGTGCTACAATTGATACTAATCAGAGAGAAATAGACAACACTTTACTTTGTCATCAGGAAACCAACTAGCATTTATTTTTTGAAATTTATAAAAACTGAATCAAAATAAAAGCAAATTTTTTTTATATTTATGGAAAGTTGAGAAAAATGCTGAAATGTTCATATTTTAATTTTACATTTCTGTTCTAAAACCTTTCAGACTTTGGAAGAAAATAAGAAACACAAGTTGAAGTCATTTTTCAAAGACTTATTCATTCTGATATCTTCATTGTTTTGTTCATGCCATTTTAACTTGTGAACTTCCTTCGTTTTCACTGCCACCTCTCCACCAATTCTAGCAACAGATTTGTCCAATGGAGACTAAATGATTACTGGAGGCAACATACACATGGGGAAGACAGGAGAACTAACCAGCCAAAATGTAACAACTGAGACAACAAAGATGAAGATACTGGTCTGAGCAAATTGACAAAAGTTTAAAGGAGAAAAAAATCTACCGTATTGCAAGCTGCCAGGTTTTTGATGAATCGAAAATATTCTGCATTGTAAACATCTCTGTTTTTGACAAAGATGATATTTTCTGCTCTGATCACTTGCTCAATACTGGCTGGCATTTTTACTGTAAACATTCCACGTTTTTCACCCTTATGCACTAATTCAGTCAGTTCAACAAGGCTGTCAGAGTTGAGACTGCGTCTGCTGCAAATACAAGTAGTGACAACAGCATTCAGAGATCATAGCAGTGAATGTAAAAATCTTTACAGACCGATTACAATATATTGATTCTTGCTCTTTATTCAAACATCAATTTGTAAAAGAGGAAATAAATATATGGTTGGAAGATTAAAAGCATTAATGTAATAAAATAGCAAACAGAAATATTCTTTCCAGGATCTAGAGAAATTTGTTTTTATCACATTTCAAATGACATCTCAATTCAGAGTGAGTTTAGCACTGAAATGTGTCTCATTTAATAAATTTATTCACATTTCCAGCAAGAGACTAATGGAAAGCAGCAGAATAAATAATAGCTTAAATAATAAATATAAATCCTTTGTTTACTTTTTGTTCAAAAAGAAAAAGCACATCAAATTTTCATGTCTTTAGATCTGGTATTGATATTTTTCAATTCAAATTTTAATTTACCTTGGTTCCAAATGTGTCCGTTTGGAAAGAGAGACTTTTGTTTTCTTAGCAGAAACTGGAGTTTTCGGTTCATCAATTCGCTCATAATATAACATGTAACCATTCCAATAACGGATACGTTCTTCAGGATAAGTCATGCCTGAAAATTAAAATAAAAATGAATTTAATATTAAAAGGTAGAGAAGTGGACAGCCTTTAAATAACAATTTGAATTCATATTATAGTTTTATGGCACATCAATTCATCTAAAATGGTCATTGGAATGTCAATTTATTTGTTTCAGAAGTAAACAGTTCTGCAAAATTTGGGCATGAAATTGTTGTGTATTTTTTTTGTTAATTGTCACAATGTTTTATCAGATATATTCTTCAGCTGTCCTCAGGCACATGTTGCAAAAGTGGTGTAATATTTTTATTCTTTTTGAAAAAAACTGTAATACCTCCCAACAAAAGGCCAACAAATGTCAGTTTCTAGATAAGAATAGACAAAACGCTTCATATCTCATCTAATTTCACATTAACACTACTAACAAGGTGCCTTAACATTTGGTCTTGTGATTATGTTGGACTGTGGTGTTCTAATTGAGATGAAGAAAATACTAAACAACTTCTAATGATACCCCCGGTGTAACATACTCCTGATGAAGGCCAAAGAAACGGGGCATTAAACAAGTCTGGCAAATCTCTGGAATCATAGAATTTAACTCTTTATCCCCATAATTCCAAAAATGAAAATGGACATATATCACATATCTTATTGTCCTTTTGTTGTGTCTTGGAAATTTGCAGAGTGGGAGTGGAAACAACTAACATGCTTCAAATTCTGTCTCTTAATTGAAAAAGAATTTTAATTTTTAATTTGAGCTAAAATATTCTTAACTTTTTTTTGTTTTCATCGTGTCCACTCCTCCTCTTCTTTTCTTTTCTACTGTTTAGTCTTATTTGTCTCCTTACTGGATTCTCTTTCTCTTTTGTTAGTTAAGCCAGTAAAAGTGCTACTAATTCTGTCCCTCAAATAGGGATAATGAAATATGTTCTGAAGGCTGTAGATTCCATATATGCCATCACCCCCACAAGGGGGGGGGTGCATGCAACTTGCTTTTATTGTCATTGTGCCAATGTATGCACTAATCCAATATACAGAATTGCTTGTCTGCTAAAAACAATAGTTAAGCTGGAAGAATTTACCATTGCTTCTCAATCATGAGTAAGTATGATGATTATCAATTTTTTTTTGTTTTTTTAAAAATGTACATCAACTACAAGACTCAAGAGCCACTCACAGTAGAGGGTTACTAAGCAAGGTGTTTGACATGAAAGTAAAAGTAGGAAAGTAAAAATTAAAAGGATACAGAGGATAGGTGTGACACTATTTAGCTATGGTAATTGATTAACAAATTAACCGTAAAAATTAAACAAGAAAATACTGAGAACAGAAAAGAAGATACCTTGAGATTTTATTTTTACTTTAAAAAAAAAGAAAGAAAAAAAGTTATTTTTCTCAAAAACCCGAGAATTGGCGTAAACAGTGAACTCACAAAAAAGCCATATGCAAGCTTTTGACAATTGATTAATGATGTTTGTAAAAGTACTGGTTAAAGAAAAACCAAAAACAAGATATCATCTTAAGTACTGGCAAGGCAAAGCCATGTGTTAATTATAAAAATTTTGGCATGAGAAAATATCTTGAAAGACTTCCCGATTTGAAAATAAAGAGATTTATTTTTCTGAAGGAAGCTAAGGTTCGCGTGGATGCTAGCTCCAAAAGGGGGACAGAATTGCGGGCTTTGAAAATGGATTGATGACAATGTAAAAGTACTGGTCGAGAAAAAACACAGAATAACCAAGTGTCGAGGATATGGCTTTAATTTTGTAAACAAAAATTCTAGTTTATAATTTTAATGAGGCCAACTTAGCCACACCTGCACGGCTGGGACGCCATTGGTTGAGTGTTAGCAATGGTGATAGGCGGAGGTAATTAGATGAGAAAGATGGGGAAATTACTAACACCTACTGAAAGGATTTGGTATGAGGTATCAATGTGAGAAGGAGTTTAGGAGGATAGCTATCCTGCAACCTTTCCTCATGGACGAAGGGATCCCCCCAAAAATGGAAAGTAATTAATTTTCCAAAATGGGAAGTAATCAATTTTCCTGGCTGGACAACAAAGGGGTTTCTTGTCAGAAATCGGGAATTACCAAGAACCCCAGAGTGCATCTAACCCCGCACCGGTTTTTGGTCGATGTCCATATAAACAAGCGCCCTCGGTTCACCAGTTGAAGTACAGTAGCAGTCGGAGTCAGTCCACTAGCAGGAACCAGAGAGTTGCCTCACAGAAGCTGACCAAGAGATTCCACGACCTCCGACTTCGCCTATCCTACCAATAGCAAGTTATACTGATGAATGAAGCTAAGCCAGCACTTAAAAACTAAGCCAGTTGACTTAGAAGACCAGAACATGCCTAAGAAGCATAAAAGTGTCACTCTCCGAAAATAACTGGGTTGGGAGAAAAACACACACTCCTGTATATAATAAACGGATAAAAGTTGATTTGTTTCTTTCAACATACTTGAACCTTTTGGGTTTTTATTTGTTTTTTTTTTTTGTTTTTTTTTTTACACTTGTGCGATATCACCTCCAGTTTAGACTCATCTTACCCTATGGCCCGATGCCTGATTGATCTCATCTACCTAAGATCAAAATCACAACATGGGTAGGTTAGACTTGAGATCGAAGTAGTTGCTTCGGTAACCAGACATTGGAAGTGAGCTGAGAACAATGGAGCTGGTGTTGAACTGGTTGCATCTGGTGTGAAGCTGTTTGAAATCGACCAACCATCCACTTGGTAATCTGACCAAAGGAACCCACCGGGCAGTGACAACCACCGATTGACTGGGACACAGGTCAGTGGCAGCAACTAAGAGTCAACCCCAAAACACTGGTAGGAGAAATATCACAGTTTTACACAGTAACTTGGAGTTGACCACGGACTGACGACTCAGTGTGACATCTGACCCTGAACAATAGTCACAATAGGTAACAGCTGACCCTTGACTTGAAGTGATTAAGATTTTGTTGTTAGCATTTGGGGAAGCATCCATGTGAGATTCTGTTCTACAAAACAGTGGTTCTTGGGAAAAGGCTGTCTGGGTGGAACTTCATCCTTACAGTTGAAATACAGAGAGAATAAGGGTGGTTCTATTCCATGGGGCACGGTATGATGGGTTTTAGTTATAAAGGTTTGAACTGGGTGAACTAAAGAATGGAGTCTATCCAAATATTTGTTATGGAAATAGAAATAGAGTAGCTACACTCTTGTGACATTGCATCTATGAGAAAGGGCCTGCAGCGTGGAAAGTATGTCGTCCCTAACAAAGGTATATAAATGACTTTGGATTCTGTCCAAGCTTGGGCAACTACAGCCATGCTTTTGTCTAACCTGAATCTTGGAAGGAAGTACTTTCTGTAGTAGCTACAATGAATTGACCATTTTTCCAGAATCTTTAGCAATGATATATAATGATATATATATATATATATATATATATATATATACACACACACATACATATACAGTAGCGTCCAAAACTAAGGGACAAAATTTTAAAACCTAATATTTGTTAGAAATAACAACTGTGAAAAGCTGAAATTTTGACAACTGGTAGTCGTTATCATCCATAATAACATACTAAAATTTGAATCATTTGCAAAGGATAGAAAAAGAATTATAACAATTATTTATTTATTTTCAAAATAGGATCGTCCAAAAAGTAAGGGACAAAATTGAAAAAACAATGTAAACAGTATGCTATATTCAAAATTTTTGATTTCCTCTAAAGAATAAGTCTTACTAAGTCATTTGTAAACGTTGCATCAGCGGCACCATGGCGAAACGCCAAAAACTTGATTACTCTGTGAGACAAGCTATTGTGATGCTACACAAGGAAAAAGCACACCATTAGAGATTTCAGAGAAAGTGAAACGTTCAAAGAGTGTTGTAGGCAGGGTTGTTAAATCCTACAATGATACTGGCAAAATAGTGCTTTTAAAACCGCAGACCCCACAAAACTTGACAAGAGAAGATCGAATAATGCAGCGTATGTCATTAAAGGACCGTTTTAAGTCTTGCACAGAAATTAAAAGGGTTATGAATAGTACCTCATGTGTTAATGTGTCAAGACAGACTGTTTGTAGACGACTGCAAGAAATAGGGCTGTTTAATCGAACCCCAGGGAAGAAACCACTTGTTAGTTCAAAGAATAAGAAGAAGAGATTAGAGTTTGCAAACAGGTATGTAATTTGGACATATGAAAATTGGGCAAAAATATTTTTCAGTGATGAAAGCAAGTTTAATTTATTTGGAAATGATGGAAAAAACAATGTAAAGAGACGTATTGGTGAAAGATTAAGTGCAAAGTGTACTAAGAAAACTGTCAAGTTTGGGGGCGGAAACGTCATGGTATTTGGAATGTTTTTTCTAGCCAAGGTACAACACCTCTTGTCCGTTACAAACTTCATTAAACGCGCAGATCTATAAAAACATTGTTCAAGATCATGTGCCAATCATACAGAATTCAGGTTTTGATAGGGCTACCTTTATGCAAGATAATGCCCCATGTCACAAGGCAAAAGGTTGTAATGAGTTACCTTAGCGAGCAAGATTTGGAAATTATGGATTGGCCACCGCAAAGTCCTGACTTAAATCCAATAGAAAATCTTTGGAAGACCTTAGGAGTGAAAGTTATGGAAAGAAATCCCAATAACACGGAGGATTTGTGGGTGAAGCTTCAAGAAGAATGGTCTAAAATTAGTATTGAGGATTGTCAAGAACTGATTCGTTCTTGTAGTCGAAGATGTGCAGCTGTCATTGAGAGCAAGGGGTCATTTACTAAATATTGATTGTACATGTATTTTTTTGTTTTTTTTGCCGTTTACATTGTTTTTTCTCAATTTTGTCCCTTACTTTTGGACGTTCCAAATTTGAAAATAAATAAATAATTGTTATAATTCTTTTTCTATCCTTTTGCAAATGATTCAAATTTTAGTATGTTATTATGGATGATAACGACTACCAGTTGTCAAAATTTCAGCTTTTCACAGTTGTTATTTCTAACAAATATTAGGTTTTAAAATTTTGTCCCTTAGTTTTGGACGCTACTGTATATAAGTGAACATTGAAGTCAACACTTAGAGGTGACAAGATGTTTCATGGTAGGCACAATCGTTGGCCTGATGATTGTGCCTAGCATGAAACAACCTGTCACCTCTGAGTATTGACTTCAATGTTCACTTTTATATTTACATATACAATATCTCTGATATTGAGCACTTTATCCCATAAATATACCACACCTTAAAAATATATATATATATATATATGAAAATTTCTCAGAGTTAACCTGTAGAAAAGACAATATTTATAAATATAAATGACAATAGGAAAACTGTAGTAGTTGCTGACGCGTTTTGTCCAATATGGACTTTCTCAAGGCAAAAAACAAAATGAATTTATTTAACTAAATAAAAAGTAACTAATAATAACAAAAACAAAATGTCCTTAGCAACTGGTAGAATTTAGAGAACGCTATTCCAGTTGCTAAGGACATTTTGTTTTTGTTATTAGTTACTTTGTTTAAATAAATTCATTTCGTTTTTTTGCCTTGAAAAAGTCCATATTGATGGTAAGTGGTCAACAACTAAGTTTTTTCATTGTCATTTATATACATATGTGTGTAAATATAAAAGTGAACATTGAAGTCAACACTTAGAGGTGACAGGCTGTTTCATGCTAGACGTAATCGTCAGGCCACGAGTGCTGTTTTTTTCTTTCTTGGCTATTTATATATACGGGTCAGTGGTGCATTTTGGGTAGTCTATTTTAGCGGTTATTTTGCTGGAAGTCGTTTATTTGTTTATTTATTTGGGTTATATTATTTTGCTTGTTTTTATTTATTTTCATTTCTTATCTTGTATATTTATTTATTTAGTTTAATTGGTGTTTTATTAACGTAATAGAAATTTGTCTGATCACTTATTTAATAGTTTTGTTTAGGTTTGGGAAGATAATTAAAGATATTTATTCAATTTTGGGGTAGATTGCTGTAGTTTATTCTAATTATTATTTTGGCAGGAGCAGTTTTTAATTTGTTTATTACTTCATTTATTTATTTGGACTGATTATCTTTACTTGTTTTTTCTAGCGATTAATTTATCAGGATCGGTTTGTTTGTTTATTTGGATTAATTTAGATTAATTTATTTTACTTGTTTTTTATTATTTATTTATTATACTGTATATTTTTATTTACTCTTTTCAGTTTTCAATTTTTAAGTAAGATAGTATTTTTTTTTCGTTATATAACAATTATAGCTATGTTTTTCGTCTGATTTTTGGTTTGATTTTTATAGTCTAAGTAATATTTTGGTCATAATGGTTTGTTAATTTGTTTATTATTTATTTTATTTGTGTTCATTAATTTTGTTTTTATTTATTTATTCTATTTCATCTATTCTAACGGGTGTGATTTGGTAATTTGTTTTGGTTAATTTATTTTACTTACATTGTCATTTTGTTTACTTATTTATTTTATTTTTTTTCAGTTTTCAATTTTTAAGTAATGTAAAAAAAATTTGTTTTCATGTCTGCATTTTGAGATGAGCTCGGATCGTTTATTTAATAATTTAATTTATTTATATATATATATATATATATATATATATATATATAGGAGTTCTGCTTGATGTCTAGTGAACTTGAATCCTAATAGACATTTGAAGCAAGGAGCCTCATTGAGATGGCAACCATTTATCACAATTGGAGAAAACTCAGGATTTGATTGGTGATGATCAAATGATACAAGTTTGGATTTTAGGGTTTTTTTTATGATTATTGCTGCTTTAGGATAAGATGTTATAATATGGATGAATGCAGATTTCATTTCTACAAGATTTACTGGCTTCTTCTGGGATGTGGTCCATGAAAGAGTTTAAGTTTACATTGGCAGCAGGTCATTATACTCATAAAAGTTCAATTTGCATTGAAATTTGAAGGATCAATTTGTTCTTTTCTTATCCAAGACTTATAGGAGGACAAAAACCACTGGAGAAAAATAACATTTTTAATTTCTTTATAGTTATCTTGTATTTTTTGTTGGACTTTTGTAGTTTCATGAAGCCAACAAATCAAGTTTTTTATGTCAACTCCTTTATCAACCTGGCTCGACCAAGAGTGAAGTAATGGGTGCTATATGATCTTACTGGGTATGAGGGATTATTTTTAGGTTTGAATTTCAAATTTTCTTTTGCAGATTTCATTTTTCAAACTACAATTCTTATCTCAATTCATTTTCCTTCATTGTGACAAAAAAATTATCTTAAGAGATTTAGAGAAGAGGAAAAATATTTCAAAAATTTCTATCAAATTTTGAATAAAATTTCAACAAGAAGAATAAAGTCATACTTTGATCATAAACTTTTGCTTTGTATAAACCACCAAAACATTCTGCTTCCAGACTGACATCCGTCATATGGAATTCTTCAACTGTGATGTCATTGAACTTAAACCAGCAACCTTTCCGTGGATTGGAAGAAACTGTTCCTCTGCACAAGAAAAAGAAAATTGAAACATTTAGTCACAAATGAAAACCAGAAAAACAAACCGATTCTTACTTTGAAAGTCAATTTGAAATATCAAATTGAAAAAATAATTATAATTAAGGCACTAATGACCATATTGCAAAAGATTTATAATTAATTGTTGTCTTTAAATCTTGTTCAAGATATTGTTCTAAGATAGTGTCCTGCTGACAAATGTTGGAATCATACAAAACAAGATTATAAAAAAGATCAAGAAATCAAAAACTTAAAGCCCACAAAATCCAAATTAATATTTTCAAGATGTGGACAATATTACTCTTATTTTGCATTTTGAATTATTCTTTACAGAAGAGAAACAAATTGAAATGAAAAAATATTCGGTTTCAAACACGGCCTCCACTTTCATTCAAATTCCTATAGGTTTTCTGACAATAGTTATTCAAAACAGTCTTGCTGTCAAAATTATGGCAATGTTTAAATATTTTCTAGAAAAATCAAAGGAGATATTTATCAAGTTTAGCCTGTTATGAGAGCACAGTAGTATAAAGTGAGAATTCAACTCATAAAATTAGCAATGGTTAATGAGTTTTGCTAATTGTTGCTCAATGCAAGTATTGTTATTAATGACAAGGGAATTAAAAAAACAATCATATTCAATTAACAAATAAGGAAGTGTACTTATTTGTTAATTCTTCAATATTTATTTTTGTACACTCATCCCCTCACTTTTTAAAATTGTTTGAGGGTTAGAATTTCAAACTCTGCAAACATAACTGAATTTTTCCCCAAATAAAAAAGATACAATAAATGTCAAGGACAACTTTGCTTAAATAAGGAAAATTTTATTTGTTAAATCATCAACATTTTTTTCTTGTTCTTGTCAAAATACAAACAGTAAATTTTCAGTCCAGAATAAGCATTTAAACATTTATGACAAACTGATTTCTTTTATTCTTTTTAGTTATTCAAATGAAAAGTTTTCATTCAAATATTAAATATTTAGTGCAACTCTCACAAAATGATCGTAAACAAAAAGGAAAATATCAGTCATAACAACACAAGCTTTATCTAAAGCCTGACTTATAAATCAGACAGAATGGTTAACCGAGTATGTTGGGGTGGAGGGGGTTGGTTTATGGGTAATACCCCAATTGAAATTAATACAGAAGAAAATGATTTACCTCCTATCCTTAATGTATGAATAATAGTGACCAGCATTAGCCTGTCCACTATGGACAACAATGCCCACCAGTTCATAGTTTATCTTATTAGCAGTAGTGTTGGTTGATACATGGATTGCCTCATTTGATTGAACTTGACATACAGAATTGTTCCCTTCTCGTTGTTGCTGCTGCTGCTGCTGCTGCTGTTTGTCCAGATTGTCTTCTTCAAGACACATATTTACAGATTCAGACTCTCGTCTTGCCATTCCTTCTTCTGTGTAAGGTTCCATATCAAGCACCCATGGAAACTGATGGCAAAAAAAAATCAATATGGCTATCAAAATCAAATAAAAAATTTTCACAGATTTGGAAGATTAAAAGGCTCAATGAAAAGAAGTGTCATCAGGAGTATCTTGCATCTAGTGGTTTTCAGAAATTATTGAATGTTTTCTACAAAATCCATGAACACATTTAAGAGATGATTTTCTTATAGAAATTATTTTTTTCCAGTTCTGCTGAAATTGTTCTCTTGTAAATAAGAAACTGATAATTTGATCTATAAATTTTTTATTTTTTTCCAGTTCTGCTGAAATTGTTCTCTTGTAAATAAGAAACTGATAATTTGATCTATAAATTTGTTAAGAGAAAAGTATGATTTAGATAGGTTATTTTACCAGCACACCAAACCCACAGGTCAAGGAAAGTATGAAAAGAACCAATAATCATAGTTAAACATCACTTCTTTTTCATTGCCTTCATATGACAACGTCCCAAAATGACCACAGATGCAATATATACCATTAAGGAGGAGAAAAATACAAGTTTGGGCTAAAATGTTTTAATAAAATTAACAGAATTAATAGTTGTTTAAATGACAATGGAATAATAAAAATAATGAATTTCCTTGTAGAAAAGACAAACTTCCAGGAAACACCTTTTATCACACTTAAGTTTTGGAAAAAAGTATTGAACTGTTTTTTTTAACTTGATAAGGATTGGTAAAAAAAATTCTAAATAGATTTGAAGAATATTTTTTTTAAAACTAGATATATATATATGGAATGCATGTAACTTAAAAAAATGAGATTTCAAACAAATTGAAGAAAAAAAAATATCGAATTTAAAAAATTTTCTTTTAATTTCTTCTGCACAATTCTCATTTTATGAAATTTGTTTGAGAAAAAAAAAAAAAAAAAAAAAACAGAATTTATAATATTTATAAAAGATACTGCTAGATTGAATGAAGCAGTCATTTATAACAAAAGAAAAATGGGAAAAGAAGAAAAATTATTTCACTATGTGATTTGAAGAGAGAAAGAATGAAATTTCTTAAACAGGCTGAATCCTTCCTCTGTCCTGATGTATGAAGTGATGTCATCTGAACAAAATGAGAAGCAATGGATTAAGAAACATTTACAATTTGATTAGATATTAGAGAGAGGATATACCAAATCCAATGATAAATAATCTGTTTAAGAATATACTCAGATCATTTATAAACATCTATGCTGATGATATAACTATATATGGGCACACTTCTAAAAACTCTTGATGGTCAGAGATTGGCAACTGATCTCTCTTCCAATCTAGCATATATTACCCAGTGGAGTAAAAACAGACTGGTTACATTCAATGCCTTGAAAACCAAACTAGTTACATTCCATCATTGCCAATCAAACCTTGAACTACCACCAGGTACAAAGAACAGATGTCTCCTGAGGGAGGCAACATGCCTTGAGAGACCATTGGGCCTTAAACTCACACCTGACCTCAAGTGGAACTCGTACATATGATCCATTGCTAAAAATGCAGGTAAAATGGCTGGTGCTCTGTACCGCTCCAGTAAGTACCTGACTCCACATGCTATCCTCTACCTTTTATAAAAGCCAGATCAGGCCAAAATAGAGTACTGTTCTCATATTTAGGAGGGAACTACCCAGACTGCATTCTCCAGCCTTCATAGAGTTCAAAAGCATCTTTGAGTCCTTGTGGTTTTCTACCCTCCACCCTCTCTCTCACAAGCGGAATGTGGCAAACCTCTTGCTGCTCTATCACTACTTTCATGGAAAGTGCCATGACAAACTATATTCCGTGCTTTTGCCAGTTCAAACCTTCATGGCAAGAACACACCATGCTACTTACATTGTAACAAGCCACCCACATTCCTCTGTATTCCATCAGTGAGAAGTAAGTTTCACTTGAACTGCCCTGTGAAACTGACTCCCAAGAGGATGGTTCTCCAATCACTACAATCTTAACATTTTCAAGGCTAGGGTTAACCATTATCTTCCCCTCCTATCCATACAAATTGACTCCTAATATAACCCTCTAACTCGAGTGGACCCAGGCCTTGTATTAGGTGAACCTTACTGTAAAAGAAAAAAAAAAAAAAATCTGTAAATGAGAGATTTTAACAAAAAAAAAAACAAAATGCTTTTCTTTTTTTCTATTTTTTTTTTTTAAAAACTCAAAAAAAAAAAAAAAAACCCTCAAAAACTTACTTTAAAATAGTCATCAAATTTTAATGCCTTCTGTGCTTCCCAGTCATAACCAAACCGTTTCAACTGAATACAAAGCAATGGAGGAAGTGTTTTGATACACATTCGTTTTATTGTGTTTCTCTGAAGAAAAAAAAAAAAAAAACAAATAAAAGAAAAATATGAGAGAAAGAGGTAAAGATGGCTATGAAACATTATTACTTAACACACAAAATACAGAAAAGAATACAAAAAATATTTGAAACTTACTTTTTCCCTACACTTTTCGCAAAAATAAGCATTGTCCCCTTCAAGTAGTTCTCCTTTTACAAACTGATCCAAAGAGTCTTGTAATGTCGCATTTTTTACAGTCAAATTTAGAGCAAAAAATGGCTCCTCTCTTTCATATCTGAAAAACAAGAGTTTCGGTCAGAAAAACCAGTAAAGTTTGAAAAGATCAAACATATTCAATAAACAAAAACTTCATTGCTCCCCTGCCCATTTACACGTGGTCATTTTGTCTGACTTTAGAGTGAAGGAAGAGATGACAGAGAATTTTGGTGAATGATAAAATCCAAAGGCAAATTCAACCAATCAAAAATGGTGATTGCTCAATAAATTTCCATTTATAGACATTTGCCATCATTCACTTGAGAGAGAAGAGGTTGTTCAGTTTTTACCATAATGACCTGCTATTGACCAATATTAAAAAAAATACTCTTACTCTTAAAATGCTTATCTATTTCAGCTCTTGTATGGTTTCCTACTCCACCCGTCAAAATAAGCTTTTTCAAGGTAGCATTGATGAATATATGTGTATGGGCCAATAAACAAATCTTTAGCTTGAGATTTACTATTTATCTTAATTCTAAAATATAAGAATTGAGAAAAAAAATGTTTAAACTTAAAGCAAATCAATACTTCATAAGATTTAATCTCAGATCATAACATACAAAGTAAATATGGATTTGGATCAATTAAGGATCAAAGATTTTTCTATTCCTTATATTTTATTCTCTTATAAACAAATCCAAAAACAACCCAAGGAAACAAACAGCTTCAACAAAACTTGCATTTTCTTTCATTTACTGACATCCAAGATACCTTGATGAATTGTTTAGTTAAATTCACAGAGAAAAAAGGTGTTTAGATGAAATAACTTTTGGTAAGTAATTAATTAACCCTAAACCCTGACCCTAAAGTAATTCCATAATGAATATGCTTTATTTTTTCTTCTATTTTCACTTTTAAGTTGTCAAATCTCCTGAGACTACTTTGAAAATTTTGGCCAAAACAATGTTATTTAATTTCACAAATTTTGCTACACACTTTCTCCAAAGCAATTCTTAATCTGGCAGTGGTAAAGGGCAAGGGATAATCCGATGGTCAGGAAAGTTTTTTCTTATTGAGAGTGGAATTTGATGAAGGAAAATGGAAAATTAAGTCTGCAAGGAGTGGAATTTTCTGTGAAATGATACAATATTTAATTCAGGAAGAGAAGTGGTGATTTTAATATCAAGAAATTTTAAATCTGTAAAACACAATAATAAAACTAAATTAAAAATGTTATTGTTGTATGAGGTTTTTGTCATCAAATTTGGTTGTTTTCTTTTCAAATTGACTTTCTTTCATTTCAATAATTCAGTGATGGAATGAGGAGAATTTTAAAAATATCATATTTCAACCAGATGCCAAATTAATGACAGAAAATGAACAAATGTTTATTTCTTCCATTGAGAATAAGTTTAATATACATGTCAGCAATTGGGCACCTGCTGAGCAAGTTACTGTGGCCAACCATTTTTTAGTGAATAATCTTCACTAAGTGCTCCAAACTAGAAGCCTTATGGCAAACTAAGCTTAGTAAATAAGTATATATTTTTATAATTATTGATATTGTTTTTTTTTTTTTTTTTCCACTCTCAAATCAGCCATAAATTATTCAATACCTGGAATTTTGTTCACAACACAAAAATACAAATAAAACAGTTCCATTGTTTTGCAACATTATTCAATAAACAATAATCTTTATATTTTTCCTGTAAACAAAAATAAAAAAATAGATTTTATCTGTTGTGTTGGGGAAATTCAGATTGCTTTTTTTTTTATCATTTTGAATTGGAATACTTGCTTCATTGTGTGCCACTTCTTGTAACAAGACAGTAATTGTAAAAACGAGTTACAGGCCTGCAGAGTGCACGACATACTCTTTAGGTAGCTTGGGTCTATTAGGGGAAACTAAATACAGTAAATTCATAAAAGTGTAAAATAATGGATTAAAGAAAAAGGTGAAAAGATCAAATTAAAAAGGAAAAAAGCTATAAAATATGGTGTGAAAGTACAGTTCAGAGAAAATGAACCCTGATTAAATTTGATAAAATTGGAAAGTGTGTATGTAGGAATTAAGGAATAAAATGTTGACAAGATTTATGGGTCAGGAGAAAATGGAATTTGGCAAAGTCAGCTGTTTACTCAAAATATTAATTCTCCAGAAAGTTTTTTTTTTTTTTTACCGAACTAATGTGTTCCAATGTGATATATCTGGTCTGGTGAATATAGTAGTCAAAGTGATAAGAATTACTTATATAAGCAAATTGCTGATGCCTCAATAAACAGTTGTTAGTGGTTGTCAAGGAAATCTTTACACAAGTCTTTATGATTCAAAGATATGAATGTCTAATTTCAAAGTCTTTATGGTGTGAATCCAAGAAAAGGGAAGTCCATGCATTTCAGATGAATTAGGCAGTCCCTGTAACCAAAGACAAGAAAGCAAGAACTAAAAGCCTTTTATTGATAAGTATATACTACTACCAATAAAAAAGCCTGCTGTAACTATTACTACTGTTATTAAAAGCAAACGTAGTCACAGAGATTTCCTCATTATTCCAAGAAATGTAAATAGGAAAATCTTTCTTTGTCCACTGTTATTTATAAAACCTGTGACATTAGTGTTTGTAATAAAAATTTTCTACAGAGAAGAATTCTTTCGGCTTTTTCCAGTCTACCAAGCTGAAAATCAAAATACCATAGGATGAAAGATAATTTTTAATAGCTTTTGGATAAGCAATGAACTTTTGAAGGTCCACTTGATGATGCAAATTTCTAACCACCAGCTTACAAAAAATCTTTTAGCTTTATCTTGTACACTGCATAGGTTATAAATGTATGTGCATTATTCTATCTTATTACTGTGCAGTTTGTTTTAAAAGAATGAAGCAACAATATCAACCAAGAAACAAAATAATCAGCAAATGTTTCGACCAAAGGAACAATGGCTGCCTTCCCGTACAAAAATTATTTGCTTATTAAATTAGAAAATCTGTAGATTTACAATTTTTTAAGATTTTTATTGTTGTTGATGCCAAGGAAAAAAAAACAATAAGTTTGGAGAAATTATTTACCGATGGGGACAATCTTTGCAAATTTTCTGATCAGAAAATATTCCTTGAAATTTCTTTTTGAATACTTCCTCTCTGCCAAGTTTCTGAGAAAGAAAAGAAAATCACTTTCATTAAAATAATATAAAAACTTTCAGAGAGACATTTTATTGTTAGATTTCTTTAAGAAGATGTCTGATTTCTGTCAACAATGGCCTGCCAATTGTTGATGTGTGATAAAGACTTCCAGCATCATTACATGAATATGGGAAGATAATGGGCACTAGAATAACTGAATTCCACTCTTAAGAACCTAAGGAAGGATTGATTTGCAGTTGCTACTACCTTAAGTGAAAATATGTATAACATGAACAATAGCAAAGAAAAAAAACAAATTGTGCAGGGATTTCCATTTTATCTTATGGACAATGCTAAAGAATGAAATTAATTTAGAAATGATTGTGCGATAATTGCAAGTAGAAAAATAAACATATGAAATATTGATTTTTATTTATAATTTATATTGTAAGGAACATAGAAGGTGCAAGTAGCCAAAATATATACACTTACTTTTCTGGTATTTGAACCCAGATTTCTTTTTTTTTTTTTTCCTATATAAAATTTCTTTAACTCATTATGAACCAGTGAAAATATATTTTCAATGGATGTTGTTTTCAGTGTAACAACAAATTATATTGAAAGAAAAATATTTTATAAGAAGGAAAAAAAAAAAGGGAAAAAAAGTGATCTAAATTTGAGTCTCACTTTCATTTGTTCGTCCATTTGGTCAATGAGAGCTTGGAAGAAGTCAAAGGCATCTTGTTGTTCGTGGACATTTATTGTCTGTCCCCACAACTTAAAGACTTTCCAGAAACTTTCTGGTTCATGGTACTGCAACTTGCTATCCGTCAGGTGACCAAATATATGCTGCACTTGATAGAAAACGCTGAAATTAAAAAATTACATATATATATATATATATATATATATATAAATGATTCAAGTACATATTTTACTGAAAATTTCAATTTCTCTCTTCAAGCAAAATGTTTTTCTGTACAAGGAGAAAAAAAAAAAGACAAGATGGAATTGAAACTTTGAAATAGCTTTTCATTTCTACTTTAAGCCATCATAAAATCTTGTATTGATTACAGATTTATAAAAAAAAATAATCTAGTATTGATTATATCTTTATTAAAACTTTGTAGTAATTATAGATTTCTACCTAAAATCCATTTTTAGAATGGTGGGTATTAATGGGTTAATAAGAAAAAATATTTCTCATTCTAAATTCATCTTGGATGTCACTTGTGAGTGTTTTTCTTGAGATTTTTATTACTATTCTACACCTTTTCAGACAAGTTGTTATATATATATATATACACACACACACACACACACAAATGCAATGAGAATGAATCAAGTAAATTCAAATGTTCATAACATTGATTTTAAAAAGAGCTCAATACAAAAGAGCTATAATTCTTTATTATATGCTATTACATTCGAACATACATATTTCTGCTACAAAAATGCATTAATATATATATATATATAAAAAGAAGAAAGACATAAGATATAATCTTCTCAAAAAGAAAAAGAAAAAAGACACCGATATACCCAGTAAAAAGAAAAAGAAAGAAAAATAAGATGGAAGAGAAGAAAGACCCAAGATATAATCTCTTCTCTGAAGAAAAAGAAGAGATAAATATAAATATGAGGATGATATAAAAAAAGAAAAAAGACAAGACCAGACATGTGAATTGGTTTAACCAATGAAAATCATTTACATTAAGATGTTATGGAAAATAGATTTAAATTTAACCGGAAATCATATCTACTCAATGAAAGTTTTGGATACATTGTAACCTCTTCTATCTTATTTTTCTTTCTTTTTCTTTTTACTAACTATATCTTGTCTTCCTTTCTTTTTTCAACTATCTTGTGTCTTTTCTTTTTGAGAAGATTATATGTCATGTTTTTCTTTCTTTATATAATTTTTTTTTTTCGGACAAGTATTATTAAAAATGGTTATAACCATCATTTTACCACCGCCTGATGAGATGCTATGTCGCATTGAAACATTAATGCATTTTTGTAGCAGAAATACGTATGTTCAAATGTAATAACCTATAATAAAGAATATATATGTATATATAATAATTAATCAAGAAGAAAACAAATATCCATTTTGGTTATAATTTATTTTGTGAATATTTCTATATATTCATCTCTTCAGATTGAAAGCTTTTAATGGCTTTTAAATGCATTCAGTCTGAAAAGATATAGAGATATTCATGAAATGAATTATAATTGAAATGGATCCTTAAGCTTTTCTTTTTGATTCATTATTATTATATTGCACTGTAGCTTACATTAAGCTCTCTCTGGATTAATATCCTCCTTAGAATTATCCCTACCAGTCACAAATTATATATATATATATATATATATATATATATATATATGATGGACTCTCCCATCAATTTCAACTTATGAGGATCCGACAACCTCATTCAGTTTTTATGTTTGTGTTGTATATGAGAGTCCTGCCAGCATACAAATCCACATATCAGGACATAGCTAGAGGAATATTTGCTGACACATTTCCCTTCATTGCCTTTCAATATGACTGATTTCAAAATTTCTGTTACCACTCTGGTACAGATATCTCCAGTCATTTCTTTCCAAAGCAAACCCGCTCAAAATTAGTATGAGGCACATTGACAGCTGAGAGGTTACACTTTAGCTTGTCTTTATACCATGGCCATCAAATATTCCTTTGTCCACTGTGAAGCTGGTTATACATATATACAGGGTGTATCAAAATTACTTTTATAAACTTTGGGGGAAGGTTCCTGACACCAGAACAAGGACAAAAGTCCATATAAACATGTCTATGAATTTTTTGTCTGAATTATAAAGTTTAAAGTAAGTTTATGGTAGATGGTGCTGTGTTGCCATGTAGACTAGGTTACATTTGTCATTCGTGTACATTTGTGGCTAGTCTGTCTTCAACAATTAACTTGTGTAACCGTAACTGAGAAGTGTTCCATTTAACAATGGCAGAATATTTATATTGTGAGCAAGCAGATATGATTTTTACATACGGCTGCTCGAATGGTAAGGAATGTAAGGCTGCACAGCTGTATAAGATTGCGTTTCCAGAACAAAAGCAGCTGAGTCATCCAACATTTGCTTCTGTTTATCGTCATGTTGCTTTGACAAGATCTATGGTATTACAAGCTATGGATTGAGGAAGACCAAGATCCTCTTGTACACTTGACCACAAAGAACACATTCCAGAAGCAGTCAGAGACGATCCAGGTATTAGCACATGTAGATTTTTGTCTTTCTATTGATGTAAGGAACTTTGAAAAAATATTTTTGATATACCCTGTATATATATTTGTCTCCAAGTATTAAATTTCTAATTTCCACAATGGAGACATTGACAAAATTATAGGAAGACATGAAAAAAAAAAAAAAAAAATTAGCAGTTAAAGTTTGCTCTGTTATGTACACATATAAATTGAAAGTTTACAGCCGTGGTATCATGAAATTATTAATGTCTCCCATGATAAAAAAGTTAATTAAAAAATCCATAACCCATTAACCATGTTAGAAATGTCCAGGATTTGCAATTGAGAAAACTTTAATAATTAACAATTAATTGAATGATAACAACTAATGGAGTTGTAGCAATTTCGTATGTTCTCAGATTAACAAAACTAAAAAGAATTTTTAACAATACTGCAACTGATGTGCTGTGGAGATGAAAGAAAGAAAAAAAAAAACAAGTGTGAAGCAACTTCTACAGATGCAACAAGCACATGACAAAAGTCAAAAAAAGAATTTTTTTTTTCTTTCAATAAACAATGGAAAAAATCTTGTATGGTTTCTTTTTTCCTAATCAGGATTGGAGGTTGATATTTGAAAAAGACACATCCAAATATCCAACCCCTTGACATTTTTATTTATTATTTACTGTAGAAAAAAGGACTGATAAAAACAAAGAAATTAAAGGAAAGTCTAAATTTGTAGTCCAACCTTTCTTCATCTGGATTATCCTCATCAATTGATAAGATAAATTCTGATATTCCAGGAACCATGAAGATTTGTTGCAAGACAGAGTTCATGTAACAAGTAGCTCCACCATTCTTTAAACCCACAAATCCACATTCTGCTCTGCCATCCACGGGAGGCATGTACTGACGACAAAAAGTAAAAAAGAAAAAAGTCATGAAAATAAATTAAAATAATGGAAGGAATAGAAGAAAAAAAATCTTTTCAGATGTGAGATCATTTTTTCTATGTTAAATGAACACCAAGAATCAGAAGAAAGAATTCAATTATCTAAACAAGCAATAATAATAATGCTGGTGTACTTTTATAGGAAGAAAAATAGTAGAACCTTTTTTGATGTTGGAATATGGTAAGCACAGTGTATATATATATATATATATATATATATATATATATATATATATATATATATATATATATTCAATTCAGTTGTATGGATATGGGTTTGTGACCCTGGGTTTCACACTTTTGATATCATCAGATGATCACAAAAGTGTGAAACCCAGGGTCACAAACTTATATCCATACAACTGAATATGTTAGCTCTATCACTGATATTGAGTGCTTTCCACTAACTACTGCACATACAATTATATATATATATATATGCATGTTTCATTAAAAACGACAGACAAGGTACTACAGTTGAGCTTTTTATTTAATTTTTCTTGTGTTCTGACAAGAGCTTTTTTTCTGGACAAAAGTGTGTAAGAACTGTCCGAATGTTCTGTGTTTCCAGAGCTTTTCGGCTATACCTTTAGCCATTATCAAGGACAGTTCAATTATCAGCTTAGTAGAGTGTGTTCTATGTATGTTCAGTGTGTGGTAGTGGTGTTTTAGTTTCCGAATACAGTTAGCACATTGTGGCTTTGTTCATAGTTGATATTGTTAAGAGTTGGCTTTTCTTTTTTTTTATTAGAGCTTCCATTATTTTTAGTCTTTTTTTTTTGCAAGTGGATGCAGTTAATATATTAGTGTTTTCTACTAGTATGTTCCCTAATAGTATGTGTCTGAGTGGTGTTAAAATGTGTTCTGATGAACTGTGATCAGATAAAATCTAAGACGTGTAAACATGTGTTAAAATGAGTCCATTATCTATGTTCTGATTTTAAGGAACTGTGATCATAATTATTTATGAGTCCGTAGGAACACAGTAAAGGGCATTTGAACTCATAGATAAACAAATAATTACATCGGCTACACAACCACATGTTTATCCAGACGTCTTACATTACACCTATCTGATCACAGTTCCATCAGAACACATTTAAGCACACACTCAGATTTAATTAGGAACATACTAGTAGAAAACACTAATATATTAACTGCATCCACTTGCAAAAAAGACTAAAAATAATGGAAGCAAAATAAAAAAGAAAAGCCAACCTTTATGAACAAAGCCAACAATGTGCTAACCGTATTCTAAAACATCACTACCACACACTGAACATACATAGAACACACTCTACTAAGCTGATAATTGAACCATCCTTGATAATGGCTAAAGGTATAGCCGAAAAGCGCCGGAACACAGAACATTCGGACAGTTCTTACACACTTTTGTCCAGAAAAGAAAGCTCTTTGTCAGAACACAAGAAAAAATTAAATAAAAGCTCAACTGTAGTACCTTGTCTGTCGTTTTTAATGAAACATGCATAAAGGAAGGATTGCTGCCTAAATATACAAATATATATATATATTATATATATATATATATATTACAAAGCTAGGAGGGGAAAGGGAGAAAAATAATTCAAAGATGAATAATTTTATGACTTAAAATTTTAAATTGAAAAATGAATGAAGTAAAATCAATTTTTGAAGATAAAAATCTGCTGAAATATTAAAATGGAAAGTTTGTGAACAAATCTTTCAAGACAAGATTATAAACATTTAACTTTATCTGGCACAAAGCCATAATAGTGGAGCACCTAATTAGGATATCACTTTTTACACAGCCTATGAGATTTGCTTGTTCATTTGAAAGCAAATCAATGCTGGATCATTTAAAGAAAAAAATTAGTTTAAATTTGTTCAGATTTATTTGGAAAAAAGTTTAAATGGAATATTCCAAAGGTTCTTAGCATCAGACAAATTTTGAGTTGAAATTCTTGCTAATTAAAAAAAACCTTCAATTTTTAATCTTTGGAGAAATTTTGTTGAAATACCTGCATTTTTTTTTTTTTCAGGAATCAAATCAGACTAGTCTGTTAAATTCAGTTGAAATGTTTTTTGGAAACAAAATTGCAATTAATGTCATTTATGGCCATTAAGCTGAAAGTCATGGAAATGTGTGGAATTTAGTCTTTGGAAAATTTAGTTTTATTTAGTGCAGTTATTGTCTTGACAAAAAAAAAATTGAAAATAATGAAGAGAATTGTTTCTCAGTTGTTGGAATGGAAAAAATTTTGCTGATCACAGATAACCAAAATCAGTTGAATGTAGTGAAAAAAAAAAAAAAAAAGTAGGGTCAGGGAGTGCATGCCGAACTCCCAAGTTAAATTATGATGATAAAAAAGACAGAGACTCTATATAGGGTTGGCATACAAGTTCCATCTCTACTTACTTCCCATTCATTGGAACATTCTGGATTTGGTAAGTGGTGCATCCGAATTAGATGCATACAGATGTGCTCCATATTAGTTAAACATTTGTTTGCTAATTCTGTGAGAAGGTCATAGGCAGCAACACGAGATTCTGTACTGGAACATCTGAAAATTATATTTTTTAAAAAGATGTGAATTAAATAAAATTGCTTCTTTTTGTTACATTAATTCTTAAAATAAAATTTTAAAAGAAAATAGTGAAGAAATGTAAAATTTATGAGAAAAATACAGAAAAAGTCAGACATTATAAAAATTATGCATAACGACAGTGTGTGTGTGTGTGTGTGTGCACGCGCATGTGTTGAAGGAATGTACTCACTTTGGATTAAAATTATGAAGAAATTCATCATTTCTGGCTTCATTTAAATTGTCCATAATGAGCTTTGAGGCAGGAAACAAAAAGTCATACAGCAATTCATAGAGAAGATCTTTACCTTGAAAGAAAAACAAAAATTCAATAATTATGATGACAGGAAATTCCAGTGCAGTTTTATTATTTACAAATAAAATACAAATTTGTTTATTAAGTGATAAATATCAAATGAAAAGTGACTGATTTTGTGTCTTTTTCCATTAATGAAAATATCCTCCTCCTCGTGTATTTGTAATAATTTAAAACTTAACTTCCTTTGCAAGAAATATTCTTCATCTTCTACCTTGCTATTTTACTCTACTTAAGACATATCTCAATACTCTGGAGCAGGGGGGTGTTGTCTGTGGCTAAATTGTTGCAAGAATTTTAGCCTTTTAAAAAAGTGTAACCTATCATTGAATTGCATAATTTGATTTTGCCCTTTCAAGAACATCATTAATGAATCCATGGGCATTAAGGTAACTTGTGACAAATGCATGTTTTCTTAAGAAGCTTAGGAATATAGGAAGCATTATACAGACCATAAGTATATAGGTAGTTATGCATATTAATACATACATAATAAAATTGCATTTCCATGTCAATATCAACATTATTCATTCATCTTAGAAAAGCAGTCAGCCATATTAGCAAGATTGCATGCAAATCTGAAGCAGAATTATTTCTTTATCATTTTTGCTTAGGGATGTAAAATTGGAAGAATTCTGGACAAGTTATTTGTAGAGGGTTAGGGTTAGGGTTTTACCTCATTATACAATGTCTATTTAAACATCTTTGTTAATAAGCAAAACTTACCAAATTCTTCCTTATTAATTCCTTCACAAGTGAACAAGGCTTTGCAGAGTTTAAGATGTCCAGCCAACAACATATTTTCCGTTGGGCGCAGTTCATGGTATTCAGAAATGACAAAATTACTTAACCAATCAATTTCATCTTCCAACATGGCTGACACATCCACCATCAAAATTTTCTGATCATCAGCTTCAAATTTCAAAAAGAAAAATTCTTAAAGTATTTCATAGCATATAAACTTGTTTCATCATTGATTATTGGAAATCACAAGCAAAATTATGAAAATTAAATTATTTGATAACTTCAAAAGTTTGTTTTATTTTGGTTTGTTAGCAGTCAAGTAAATGTCACATTCAAAAGATCATTTTTTGATTGTGACAACTATCAAAGATTGAATTACTGAGCAAAAATTTGACAAAGTTCAAAAATCTTTAACAACATTTGTATAACAAGTACCTCAGCCAAGCAAAGTGTATTGTGAGGTTCAACAATGTCTAACTTCAGAAAGTTTAATATTTCAGTTTGTCACTTTTATTGTTCATCATCATCATGAAGGTAATGATTGCTACTATCTTGTCAGGATCATCATCATGAAGGTAATGATTGCTACTATCTTGTCAGGATCATCATCATGAAGGTAATGATTGCTACTATCTTGTCAGGATCATCATCATGAAGGTAATGATTGCTACTATCTTGTCAGGATCATCATGAACTACAAGATTCAGTTTACAATCACATAATAGTAACCAACTTGATAGAACAGATGTAGACAAACAAGCCAATTATAGTTCCTATTTGCATATAACAGTTTCAATCCAGCTAAATTGCAAGTTCAATATTAACCTCAGGTGGGGAAGAAACGATGACTGATGCTTCACTCTGATCAGAATGATTATATCTAAATATACGCTTTCAAATTGGCTTCCTGTTATTTTAAGTCACAGGCCAAGTTGTTCCACAAGAAATATCAAAGTAATTTCTTTCTTCAAATCTCTAGCACAAACTTTATATAATGATTCTCCAACTCTGCCACTTAACCTTATCAGCCCTTAAGAGATCTCAATTGATCCTGACCAAATTGTTGAAGAATCTGAATAAGTAATTCTAATGCAATTGAATTGATATATTACAAAATCTATTGAAAATCAAGTATTACAAGTTGATTTTATATGAAGGTAAATTAATTTCTCTTTCAAATGATACCAAATTTAACCTCCTTGGTATTACTGATTATGAGATATCATTTAAAAGTTTACAACTTTTACAAAAGTTGTAGATTTTCAGTGCCTCAAGTTAATCATGTGACAGGTGTCAACACTGTGTACTGAAATATAGTACTATCTGATTATGGGTGAATTTAGGTACCCCTGCATTGTAAACATGTGAAACTTCTGACCATAAAGGCTTAAAGAAAAGTAAATTGCCAGTGACCTGTTTTCTTTTAGCAATTTACATCAAATGCCAACATATACTTCAAATTCTCACAAACATCTCCATCAATAAGTTTAGAAGCATCTTGTATGAAGAGGTAGTAGTATTTATCTCAAACAATTCCATAATAATGTTCCATGTAATCTCCCTGACTAGCAATTAATCTTATATCATTGCACCTTTTCTTGGTGGTTTTATACCAAAAGTATTCAGTACTGCCACCTGGTGGTTTTCACTGAAAATACTCTAACACAAAATAATCTGCATAAGACAAAATATTGCTTTGTTATTCAAAACTCAAGAGGTGGGCAATTGATTAACATTTTTTGTAGTAGAAAAAAAAATTATTGATTCTTTTGATGTTGCCAGAATTTTATAAACAAAATTTGTAGTGAGGTCAAATGAAATGTCCGATTTAAAAAATTAAAAGACACAAAAGAGTAAAATGTTGATAGTCAAATGTTTTTCTAATTAAATGAAAACAAATTAAAGTGGATTAAAGCTGAAAATAAGTGAGAAAATTTTTTACATCAAATTTTAGAAACACTTATTCACAGATAAAAATCACTTTGCTTCAGAGTACAACTTGAAAAAAAAAATTTTTTCCATAAAAGTAAATCTATTTCTTACCTGATAAATTTTCTAACAATCGACATCGAAGATCAAAATATTGAGAACACTGATTTAAAAGCCTATAAATACACAAGAAATAAAGGTTTAGTAATAAAGTCATAAAAAAAAAAAAACCAACAGACGGAAAAGAAGAAATCAGATCAGGAAATTTGGCCTTTCTACTCAACAGCTGAATTCTTATCTTTTTAAAGGATTTGGTAGAATTAATCTCATTTCATGTACTACAATGAAAAATAAATCCCAAACATTCAAATAACACATTTGGAATCAATTTTTTCTCACTTGAATGCAATCAACAAAGCAGAAATTGTTGATTTCATTAAGAGAACTGATTTTGATATCATTTTTATATAGAAAAAGTTTTGAAAATGTCTATTTCAACGAATTTAAGAATATTAAATCTAAGAACACCCACACACAATTTGATCATAGGAATGAAGGCTTGTGCAAAACCAGCCACACCTTTTTGAAGAACTGATAATAGAGAATTGGTGCACAGTTCGTCACAATGTCTCCAAACAGCCTACCTCAAGTTTTGAATTCAGTTTTCCTTCAACTGGTTGCCAAGCAAGGCTAGAAAGACCAGTTTGTCCTGTTATTTAACCCATAGCTGAAGCAGGGAGAAGAAATGGATACATACCATTTCCAAGGGTATTCATGCTAAGGTGAACACACTATACTTGGATGTAATTTGAGCTTGACATTCTGATCTCACATTTGATGCTGATAACCACTATGCTACACACATGATATGACATACATATAATAAATATACATACAAGTCTGTTTTTAGTCTGTGCCTGATGATTGCAATGTGCATGTTTTGTAATGCCCATTTGTAGGACAGACTTTGTATCAATTCTGCAGACGACATTCCAGACACAGTGTTCAGGTTTGGTGTTATTTTGAAAACACTCAGAAATTGTTGTAGCATTACTTCATCTGATTCCTCTCCCTTCGATTTTTTTTAATGCCCTTTTGGAATAGTCTATTTTTGAGATCACACCTAATTTTTCTAGTCTGTCTAATTCCTTATTAATTGTTTCTAAAGCTGCAAAAGGTACACTCCTTTTTGGCTTAGATGTTGGTGTTACGTTCTCTTTTAATCCAAACTTAGCTTTAATTTTTGTGCATGTCCCCAATATTTCTGGAAAACTCTTTTTCAAGTCATTTTTTAATTTTTCAGTTGCTGTATTAGAATTAGGAGGTAACAATATTTATCTTGTTGCAAAAAGAGTTAATTGGAAGGTGGCAAAGATCAAATAATGCAATGCAGTCTGTTCCAAATAAATTAAATATAATTCACATATTTTTTTTATGTTCAGCAGGGGACAATTTCCTTAACTTTTTTTTCATCATTTCAATGCAAACAATCCCTTTTGAAGATCACTTTGTATTGTCTATAATAAGCCGGAAAAGTTATCCCTTCGTCTGGATTGTATAAAAATTTGCTGATTGAATTAGTAACAGCATCTGGAGTGAATGAACTTGAGGTCTTTCCTTCCATAGTTTTAGTAAAAAATTCAAAAAACTTCTGTTGTTGTAATTGCTGTTCATGTTGTTTTTGTTGCTGTAATTGTTGTTCTTGTTGCTTTAGTTGCATCAATATTTGAATCATCATAGCTTTTAGTTCTACCATTTTGCTGTACTCTGCTGAATGTTTTGTAGATTAATTTTTGAATAACTTTGCCTGGTTATTTCTCTGTAGTACTGCAAATATGACATCTCTTTGGTGAAGTGGTAAAATATTACTGAATATCCATTACTACGTGTAGGATACATATATTTTATTTTTTCCTCATATAAGTTCAATGAATACTCATTGCCACTTTTGTAATGCCCGTTTGTAGGAGAGACTTTGTAAATCACAGATACAATAATAGTAACACCTTCAAACAATACTTGATCAGATGCCGCTAATTCCTATATATATATATATATATATATATATATATCTTTCCTTTATCTGTCATGTGATCTAATTATTCAAGATGAGGTTGACTGTTTGCTCTCTGGCAATTTGTGTTCAGACCCAAGTGTTGCTGCTGACACTTTATTCCTATATGACAGCATGGAACACAGAGTTGTAACAAATGGTGAGGAACAAAATATATATTAGTATAAAATGTAATGTAGTTCTTATTTAACATCAAGCACTATTTTATTAGCACCACCACTTGCTTAGAGCTATTTTTTAAATATATACAAGTGGACACTCTGAGGTGAACACCAAGTGGCAACAGTGTTTCATTCTTGAATGCAATCTTCAGGCCTGATGATTATGTTCATGCATGAAACAAACCGCTGCTGCTGATCAATGTTGACCTCACTGCACACTTTTAAATTTACACATGCTCTATCTCTGATACTGAGCATTTTTACCCATAAATATAGAATACCATAAAACTATATATATATATATATATATATATATATATAATATATACCCTACACCACATATTTATTATGCAATTAATCATTAGATTAGATCTCCTGTTTAAAATTGATTAAGGTTATCCATATTTTCACAGTTCTTACCTTTGGCTTGATCCTCGGATTGCACTGGATGTCACCCAAAAAGGGAGTCGACTCTTGAGTAAGACTTTTAATAAAAACTTGTGAGGACTGACATCTTCATTGTCATTATTTAAAACTTCTGTCTGGCTGAGTTGGTAGTAGTGTTTCAAGGCAGCATTCCTAATGTCTGGCTGTGTGGAGCCAACAAGAATGTCAATGATAAAGTCATTGACACACGGTAAGGAATAGAACACAGCTGGGAGGAAAAAAAGAAACAAAAACAAATGAAACTTAAAACAGGCTGAGAGTAAAGAAAAAAAAAGTAGAAAGTGAAAATAAAAACAAGGTAGAGGGTTACGTGTTGTGTTAACATAAGAAAGGTCAAGATAACAGAAAAGATAGACAACTAATTCTAGACTTGAATAGGTCAGGATTTAATTAGTTAATAAAATTTCAAAGTTCAGGTGGAGATGTTAGGAATAGTAAGTTGAAGTAGACTTTAGAAGGAATCAGAAACCCAATCTTAAACACAAAACAAGGAATGAATCTCTACTCCTGTTCAAAAGACTGGGGAGGAGTGTGAACTGGACCATAAATGAACCTATCTAGTCCTATTAATGTTGAATTTTGTATGGCACCAAATGAGGATCAAATTCACTGCTTAATAGTAAAAGTCAACCAATCTAGACTCATTATCCACTACTCTATGTCAAGGTACCAAAAATGACAGAGACAATAAAGAAAAAAGAAGTTTGGAAAAATATGAAAAAAAAAAGGAGAATGAAAGTAATGACAAGAAAACAAAATTCCAATTTTTAAGATCATTATTTTTATCCTTACAGATTTTAAATTCTTTTATCTCAAAAGTTCAATTCTTTTATCTACAGTATATATGATGTATAAAAAGCTTTTAAAGACTAAAAATCACAGAAAAACCGTAATGTGTACCAACATTGACAAATTAAAATCTTAGCTTTAAGCATGAAAAATATTCATAAATAAATGATGGAGACATTAAGGAAATACAAGTCTGAAATGAAAAGCTGTACAATGTTTTTTCAAAAGATGAAACTCAGCACATTATTTATTGGAGACTAACTTCATGTAAAATGCTCAAACCTTTTAGCACATTTCAGCTTATAAAGGACAATAGCCAGAAATGTAGGGAAAATAATATAAATTCTTTTGCTATTTTCACATCAACTTGATATTATTGCTTATATTGATACAAAATATGTTGTTAGAACAATGTGTTAATGACTCTTCTCAAAATTATAGACAAGACATGTAGTATTTCTAGAAAATTCTGACTTCTCCATGATGCTGGCCCTGTGATACTGGTATTCTAATTGGGTGACTCAAGATTTACAAATATTATGCATCCAGAAACTCATACATAACTTGCTAAGACTACAAATCTGCGGGGTTGGTGATAATACTTTACTTCAAGATTAATTGACCATAAATAATGGATGCCAAAGATGTGTGTGTGTGTGTTTTGAAAGAAGGATTGAGTAAAGAAAGAAACTCACTTAAAGATCCACTTCTTAATTGTAAGCAAGTTATCAGAATTTCTAAAGCTTCACGTGCAATGTTGCAATCTTTGGTGCTCAAGTTTCCCTGCTGAGCACACACACCAGCATGCAGAGTCTGACCCTCACTTTCACTGCCCGTGCTGCCTGTGCTACCTGAAAAGATATGCAGAAATCAAAAGTGCAAACTCATGTTTGTAAAAGATTTTACAAATAACAAAAATGGTTTATCATTTTCACTAATAGTCATCTTTATAAATTGGTATTTAGCAAAGCAGAACATGATACTGAAAGAAACGGGGAGCTTGACAATAGTGATGTACCAATCTCTGAAATGGAAATGGCCTGCTTACCTTGTAAATCAGCCTTTAAAATCCTTGCATTTTAACTGGGATTGAACACTGAACATTGGTGAGAAAATATGCAGCAAAATAGGCACAACTATTTATTTTTACAAATATATTTCAAGATTTAAAAAACAAACAAATCTTTAAATATCTGGGAATCTTTTTTTTTTTTAAATGCTGTCCCTTCAGGACTTAAGGGACTATGGTGCTCCACAGCTTCTCTTCTCTTTTGCTTTAATATCTATGAATTGTCATGTAGAGATGAACCTAGTGTGTGGTATAATAGGAAAGTACTTGAAAACCATATCATGGGTTGACCAAAGCTTTGCAAGTAAAATTGAATAGACAAAACTGTTCAAAAGCTGTTGATTGCTGTGTTAACATAAAATCACTAAACATGATGACCAAGGGTTTCAGTGCACTAAAATGCCAGATTGTGTATTCTCTCCCAGAAACTGTAACTGTATAAACAACAGCTTGGCTCTGTAGATACTGAAGAAACACAAATGTGTCTGGGCTGGTGTCTACAACAAGGATTAGCAAACCACTCTAGCTAGCAGACAAATATATTCAGAAAACAAGTAACCAGCCATTATTAATCTTGGGAAAGGTAGAGAGTGTTTTATTGCTGACTTCATGGTTTCAAATTCAGAGTGGTCTTTCTTCATGACTCTACCGAGAGAGAGAGAGAGAGAGGGAGGGAGAGGGAGAGCTTAGTTTGTCCTATTATTTTACCTATAGTTTAGGTGTTTGTGTGTGTGGGGGGGGGTAGATAGCTCCCTGCCTTTTCCAAGGACATTAATGTGAAATGAATGCAACAATTTTGGTTAGAATTTGAACTTTGCTTTCTAATTCCATTTTCTGGTCTAATGACCATTATGTCAACTGCAATTCCAGTCTGAGACCAATTACTGGAACCAAATGATCCCAAAAATCAAACTGATGCTATCTTTTCTTAATAAAAGAAAAGAAAAAAGAATTGTCAAAAGTGAATATTTCAGCCTATAAATCAGCAGACAATGTTTTGAAGAAGAAATTCCTTGTCTAGATAAATGAAGCAATCAACTAGAAAATACAATAATTGAGAATTTTAAACAGCCATTTTTAATTGTTTAAGTAACAAGTTGTATGGATAATAGTTACCAGTGTGGAAGTGGGTTCAGAGAGAAGATTTCCAATTTCAGCTGAGTGTATTGCATTCATTCTCGCACTAATTAACTTTGGAAAGTCATTAATCTGACTCTTATCCTTTCCCACTCCAGATATGGGTTAAATATCAAGGTAAACTGGATTCACTAGCATTGGATGGCAGCTTGTCTAGGAGAAAGACAACTCTGCATTCAAAAAAGTGGTGAAGACAATGGGAATCTATTCCATCATTTTCCAAAGAAATCATGACTTTTCATATACAACATAGACCTGTGTAGAGTCATGATTGCTTATATCTAGAAGAGACATGGCATTAAAAAAAGAAAAAGTACAACAATTATTTTTTACCTCTATCCATCATAATGTGATTGTATTGCTTGCATTAGTGAAAATGTCATTCAATTTTAATTGCTTTTAGAATGTCATACAGATGTAGAAAAAAACAAAACAGAAACCCTCTTTTCTAAATTATTATCATTTATGAACGTCTAAAAAAGAAATGAAGAAATCATTGTCTTTTGGTTGAGACAAACCTGTGCTGCTCTGCCGACTGCGGCGCCCAGTTGCAGCTGTGCTCTCTCTGATTGGTTGATTGACGCTCATCAGATGGAGGCGGCCAGCAGCTGCAGCCCAGGTAATACGCATTAGGCAAGCCACAGTTTCACCAAAATCCTGCATTGTCATTGTCTGAAAAGAAAACAGTTTTACAACTGTCAGCAATAATAAAGATCAATCCAAACATCTTATCAAAGTTATTTTCTATTTGTTATAATTCATTTTTTACCCAGATGAGTTTTTTTCTCCAATGGAAAAATGACAGGTTATAAAGAAATCCCTTTAAAATTACAGGACTAGAAAAATGTAAAAGAAAGTAACAGATTAATGGAATAAATTAAAATCAATTATTTGGCGGTAATGAAACCAAATAAATTTATTTTGAAGCACAGCAGATTTTGTGGGTTTAAAAAAAAAAAAAAATTCTCACTTGAAGTGCTTTACTTCCTGCTCCCCCAGATGATTCCACACTGACACTGACTGACCACTGTGCCCCTCCAGTTGCTGCTTTTACTGTTGCCTGAGGTGATGGTGGGTACACTTCACCTGTCACAGTTTGACCACACAACAGAAATCTGGAAGTCAAAACAAATTTGACAACAATCACTTGAATAGAAAGAAAAACATTTGACATTTCCAACTAAATAATATTTTTCATTGTTTTGCATTAAGAAATGTAATTTGTTTGTGAATTCATTTTGATTACTTTCTTCTTTTTTACTTTGTTGATTTTGAACCAATCTAGTTATATGCATTAAACTGTAAACATTAAGAATAAAGAAATGTCTGCTGAAGACATTGGCTAAAATTTAAAATAAAGAAAAAGCGAATAAACTAATGGGAGAATAATGTTTGGAATTGTGAAAATACTTTATCTGAAAATGGCAAAACAATTTTCAGTATTATGACTATTTTGTCAATAATGTAACGTGGAATATAAGCTGTTGAGAAAAAATGAATTCTGAAGATATTACAAAATCTGTGTGAGCACACTGCCATTATTCATGCCTGGTAATAAAAAATAACAGGTGCTTATGAATCTCATGACACTCATGGTTGGTGGTAAGTGAAAATATTTGTATAGATGCACCTATACATGGTCTAGGTTGTTTATCTTGCTTTACAGAGAGAGCATATGATGCAAGTGCATTTTCATTTATGATGTAAGCTGTTAAAGTAATAAACAGACCTCCATGGAAGATAATATGAAGAGTCTAAATGCCTTATAAAGTTACTTCTTTGTTCTAAACTCCTGCAAGTTGATTTGATACTCAAAAAAATAAATTTTGTAAAAATTTGTAAAAAAAAAAAAAATAAAATATATATATATAAATATATATATATATATATATATATATATATATATATATATATCCTGAAAATGCTTTTTCATTTTAGAATCTCTGAAAATCTAGGGTGTTTCTTGTTTGTTTCTGAAACTAAACTGCTTGCATCTAAAAAGTTACCAAACTGTTGTTTGGGTTTGTAAGGGAATCTTTTTATCTTGGTTGATGCAATAAAGTGTTACTTTGAGAAAATATTTGTAACTTTTGTATGGGGCAGAAGTGTGTATTTTATATATATATCTATATATATATATATACACACACACACACACACATTATGAAAGGATAGCTGTTCAAGCTGCCTGAAGATTGCATGAACATGAAACTTGAGTTACAACTAGACCCATGCTTTCATAGGATTTAATGTTGCTAAGAGTTTTTCACTCAATCTAGGCTTGCTCTGCCCACCACTTACAAGTTCTTGAAGATGTATATATTAAACTATATCAGATGAGCCTATGTAGACAGAAAGAACATTTTATTCATTCCTTCTGGTTATTTGGAGAATTATGAGTAAGCTTTTTTTATTTTATACCCTTTTCAAATGCTGTAATATCTGTTTTTATGTCATTAATTATTTACAAGTAAAATTTAATTTAATCATATTCCAATTTCTCCGCCTCATTTGCTATTCTTTTGTGAACTGTGTCTTGAGTTTGTTTAATTGCACCAATGCCCACCTTTGAAAAAGTGTTGGCTGAAAAAATATCCTTAAGAAAAATAGGTATATAAAATGACATCATCTTTGTTTAAATCTGTGTTCTTCTGTGTGGGTCAAGTTCTTATATATATATATATATAATTATTTTTTATAAAAAAAAAAAATTTATAACATAAATATGTTATAAAATCACTACAAAAATAGCCATTTTGTTTCAACACCCTCAGTGTCTTATCAAGTGATGATATTGAATATAAAATAAATGGTTTTAAAAGTTTCAAATTAATTAATGATCCTTCGCTAGGGGAAAACATTGTTACAAAAGCTAGAATGATCAATCAAAACCCAAGTATAGGAAGATTCAAAAGCTTGACAACGAAATCATGTTATAATAGCTATTCAGATCTTTAAAATAAGGGTAATATTAAAAAAGAATTTATTCTAACCAATAATTATTAAATTATATGATAAAATTTGATATTAAAATTAAAAACTACCAATTTTAAAATCCAAATTTAATCACTATTAAGTTTAAAAACTATAAAATTACTGAGGAGAAAAGAAAAAATACGTATGTTATTCAATTTATTTCATCGTTGAAATTACGTTAGAACAGACGCTACAATATCCGGTCATCCGACAATACATGTATATATATATTTTAATCCCAAGTGTGTTAATAGGGTCTTAAACTCATGCACAAAACAACACAAACACAATCAGATTATAATACATAAGCACCCAGACATATTTAGATATATATATATACACATAAAAAAGCGACGAGACAGGAACATCTCCACGGCACTTTATGAAAAAAAAAAAGGAAACCAACACCTACACACACACACAATTAAAAGTGAATGCACTTTCCATACACATAGACACCGATAAATACATGTACACACATCCACAGACATTGACAATCAGATACCACAACCAATAAATATTTAAGACTGAAAGTATCATTAAACAAATGCTAGCCACTTATTAAAATATAAATTAAGCGAGAAAATATACAAAGATAAAAATGGTTAAAAATAATATTATTTAATATATTAAAATGAAAATTCCAAAACCACAAATATCAATAAAAACACATATTTTAATCATATAAGTTGATAGTTTTATTATATATTAGGCGAAGGAAAAGAGGATAAAAAGAAAACCTACAGAAATAAGTGTACTGTCATACGTATATACACATATACATGCGGCAGCAAATACAAACTAACACAACAATATACACACACACAAATACATACATATAAATATATAAACATATACACACATATACATAACAAGTACACATACATACATATAAACATATATACACACACACATTATATATATATATATATATATATATATATATATATATATATATATATATACATACATACACACACACGCACGCACCAATACACATATGAACATATACACACACAGACTAACTACTGTGGCATAGTTCAATTCTATTGACTCTCACTCTCCCTTTTCAACCACTGATGATAGGATCAATGGTAGGGAGTGAAGAAGAGAGTTCTATTTCCAATGGCCATGAACTATGTTTTACCCATATTTTCTTGTATGGCTGTATGCATCATAGTTTAAATGGAAATGCCTGTTGAATGTGGGGAAGGCACATGCACATTGATTAAAAGTCACTAAGAAAGAAAGAAAAGTGAAATGCAAGTTTTATTCACCTTGCCAACTGAAGACAAATGGAGTAACAGCCCTGTCGTATGGAATAGCAAACCTCAGTTGATATAGCTTCAGGTTGGAGGATCCGAACAACTAAGCCCAGTCCACCAGCCACAAGAAAATCATCACAGAATCTACGTGCGCTGTGTTGAACTCCAACCTCTTCTCCAGTAGGCATCAGTTTACTGCTGAGCACCTAGAAAGGAATGAAGATCGGTTGAAACAAAAAATCTTTTAAGAAACAAGAGAGAATCTTCTATTATCAAACACAAAAAGATTCTCTGAAATCCAAGCCAAGAAAATATTTTCATGATCAACAAAAATTTAATTTGTGAGAAAAACTAAAAAGATAAAAACAATGTGTCATATTTATAACACTGTTATTTTCTATTGATAATTACATTTTGATTTATTTTTTTGCACAATTGTGAAGGGCTACAGCCAATCCTCGTTGTTTGAGGCATCTCAATAGGGAAAATGGAGAAATGTCAAGAGAGATGTGCAATTGTTGCCTCCAACATCCTGTACTTTTAGACACGAATTTGTGCCATACTCTAGCCAAGTGGGTGTGTAGATAGGTACTTGACCCCATACACAATTTATTCATATTGTTAGTGATAAAGAGGAGAAAAAAGTAAAAAAAATTCTAGGGTCTTTGGAAACAATTCTAGTTTTTCTTTAAATTATAAACTTATTTGTCAAAACTGAGCAATCCCAAAAAGAATGATAGATTAAAAAAACATTAAACCTAAAAGTTCTTATAAAGAAAAAGCTATTTAGAAAGTAGAAAAAATTAAAAGAGGTAATGGATTTATTTCACAACTTTTAATTAAAGAATTCTGCTTAAATAATAGAAAAATGACTCACCTCTAAATTATAAAGTAATCTAAAAGTTGACATTTCTGGTCCTGTGCTGTCTAGCAAAGATTTGAGGATTTCTTGAGGTGACTGTTTTGAGGCTGAACATTGAGGGGAGCACGAAGATGATGATGATGACGATGACGACGATGAGGATGATGATACTTTTTTAGGACTTGAGCGAGGACTGACATCATCAGACGAGGAAGACTGCTTGGAGTCAAGCTGAAATTTAAAGCAATACTTAAATCATAGCAAGACTTCTGTGGACGCGGTTGTCTCCCTTGAATTACGTCATTAAATCATTTATTAATTTTATGCCAAAAATTTGTCTTTTTATAGAATTTCTTGCAAAAAAAAAAAAAATTGCAAAAATTAGGCTCTGAGAAGATTTAATAAAACACTTTCAAAAACTATTTAGAAATCATTTCTACTTAAAACAAACAAAAAAAAAAACAACAACTTCCTGAAATCAGTAATTTTTTTTTACAATTTTACAGAATTGTTTTTGCTATTTTGTAAGGAGTTAAATCCTTATAACTTTTGTTAATTTTGAAAGTGAGAAAAGAAATTGTTGCAATTGAAAAACATCTGAACCTTTTGGCTGATTGAGTCAAAGGCATCCGATATGGCTGGGTCTGTTGGAATCAGCATCAGCAACTTGCGAACTCGTGATGTTATTCTGAAACAGAACAAGTCAAACATTGGTTTCAGAAAGAAAATGTTAATTCTTTTATACAATTTGAAATTTAAAGATAATTCATAATCAAATGTTCTATTTCTTTTTCGACACAAATCCCCACTATTTTTTAGTGGGGTGGGCCAGTTGCAGGCAAAAACATTTCACTTAGATCTAAAATTAGTTTTTGTCAACTGTAATTTGTATCACAATTTTTATTTTTTATGTTTGTGATATTTAAGAAAAGCAAAAGTTTTAATTCAATGTAAAAAAAATAAATCTGAAATTCAATGTCCTTTTCTTTCTGCTTCAATTTCACCAATATTTTTTTTTTTTTTATTTTGCTTTCTAAAAAGATCTGTTTCCATTTACTGTCATCTGCTTAGAGATTTCCTTGAGTGAAGAGAATTTTCAGACTTGATAAAACACAAGAGGGTAGACAGATAAAAATCGTCCCCCAAAACAAACTTACAGAGAACAAAACAAATTCCAATATACTGACCTTAATAAATCTTAAATTTTTCTTAATCTCTCTTCTAAAGAAAAAATGTTGAGGAACCATAAAAAATTACAAAAAGTATGTAAATGATAGCAGTTAGAAATTAGTTTATATCTATTTTGTTTTACATTTTCAATTTTATCCATTAAATTTAAAAAAATGAGAAAAGAGTTTTTTGCATATCACTTTGAATATTTAATGAGAAGTCAATAAACTGTGTTGAGAATTTAAAGATTTTTCACTAAATTTACAAAGAAAGCAGAGATAAGAATTCTGATGTAGGTCAGTGGTTGGTAACCTTTTGCTAACTATGTGCCAACTTAGGGTTTTAAAATCATTCAGTGTGCCAACAGCATACATATTTTTATACATGTCAAGGTCAATATACCTGTTTTACAATATATTTTATATAGTAATATATAGTATATATTAAAATTGAAACAGCTGCATGCCATTGGAAATTGATTCGTGTGCCACCTGTGGCACGCATGTCATAGGTTGCTGACCCATGGTCTAGGTGATTAAAACTGTAGGATTTTACTAATAGTAAGTAGATAAAACTACAAAATAGTATGGAAAGAGAAAGATGTTTCTGTTAACATTTGTTTTCAACATTACATATATAATTTTATAAAGATTATCACATGCAGGAATATATATATCCTTGTAGACAAGATATACTGAGAGCTGCTTTCATTTTTATCTTTTTACTTTATATCTTTGTTTATGCAGGAATGAATTTTATAGTCATAAACAGTTTGTCAATAGCAAAAGCAATAAAATGTGATTAAAGTGAACATGGTAATTTTATCATTTTAGTCTACCATACAGCTAAAAGGATGATAGGATTTGTTATTTGATTTTCTTAGAATGTTCTACAAATGTGTTTCTTAACCTCCAGTCAATGGCGTAACTTTTGTTAGTGAAGAGTTTTAACTTGGTGACTACTGAAAAAGATTTGTTTCTAATACAAATTCAAAGAAAATAAATGAACTTTATCTGTTCAGACTCATGATTGCGATGTCTCTCTATTTTTAGGTATGATGACAAATCACTGCTGCCATCTTGTAACAATGTACATACAGATTGTAGCACAGAGTCTCACTTATGTATTTCTTTTTGCAAATGTGTTCAATGTTCAGTTAATATACTCATGTTCTTTGACAAATGAATTTTACTGCCAATTAAACTTAAAGAGTATCAAGTAAAATGATTGCACATCAATAAAAAAAGAGTAAAACAGAATTTCATGAGAAAGCTAAAAGTATGTCAATTGCTGCTTTCTGGAGGACTGTAAAAACCATAATGTGTAAATGTTGGAGTCAAGTCAGTTGTGATTGCAATAACTATAAATCATGTGTTTGGGTTGATGTGTTGCTGATAAGTTAGGAATGATTCCATTTTCAAAAGATACAGATGAAACATTCATGAAATTTCACCTCATATACCCCAAAGAACAACTGACACTATGAAAATGAGAAGTTCAGTTTGCATTGTCAAGAAGCAACAGATGTTGCACTGATGTTGGTTTAATACTGATGAAAGAAAAGAAAGACTTCATATGGCAAGAATAAAAATGTGTTTTTGTTCACTGCTTTCTCCATAGAGGATGATGAAGAATGATTTAAATTAAAAAAGTTATGACTGGCATTGAATTCTCAAAACTTACATTTGATGTGTGAAGAAAAAAAAAAAGTATCACTCATTTTCATGGGTTTTTTCATTAAAAAAGTTCATGGGTTTAAAAAGGAAATTTTTTAAAAAGAGTTGCAAGTTTATGAGTAGAATTTACAATTTTTCTCTGAAAATTGTAGAATTCTTTTTTGCTGAAACATGGATTGCAGAGGTTCTTCATGTTGCCGATGTTTTCTATTATTTGTATGATTCTTTTATTCAAAGATAAAATAAAATCCTGCTTGGTATGATTGAAAAAAATTGAAAACCTTTAAAAATAAACATGTGCATGAAACAAATGAAAAAGGAACAGATTGTATCTTTGTCTTGCTTTAATAAATTTCTTGAAAGAGCAATATTTTCAGCTGAATAATGTCAGTGAGATTTCCATGGGGCTGAATTTGTTTTCATTGTATGATGACATGAACAGCTAATTGCTTTCATTCCATAATGAGTTGAAAAATATAATTACTTGAAGACTTCTTATGAAGTTTCTGCCATGGAAGTCATGGACAATGATGCTGAAGGAACTAATTGACATGCAAAATAGTCAGCTCTTGAAGCACTGATTTTGCAAAGTTCCAAGAAAGAGTTGGTCTATTCTTTGTGCAAAAGCAACTAAACTTTTGCTATCAAATCCAACTAGAGTGAGTTCTCTGCGTTAATGAAAAGCACAAAATATCACAAATCAATTCTAGCCAGATTGGCATCATGCTTTAAGAAATATGCAACCAAATTTTGATTAGTTGATGAAAATTGGTCAGCACCAAGGTTCCTATTAGTTTGAAAGTTTAAGAAATTTGATTTTTGGTATTGAAGATATTAAAACAATGACTCATTATTTGAAGTGATTTATTCCCAGAATCTTAGATTTCCTACATTTCAATTATTTGTTAGCTAACAAATAATTGCTCCAAGTTTGACTCTCAATCTACCATCAAAAAAGGGTGAGAAACCCAGTTCTGCAAAATATCTTTCTGTTCCTTTGTGATAAGAATGGGATCTAAATGTACAGAGAATACTTTTCTCCTTCTTTTTCTGACTTCTGTAGAGTCTGCAAAGAGCATTCAATAATTTTTTTTTGAGGGAAGAAATTGGTTGGGGGCAACATTTAAGGTTAATGACAGAATTTACATTGATTTTTCACTTGGAGATTTGGCAAGAAATAAAAATAATAAGAGAGTTCTTACTTTGGTTCTTCGAGTTCAGCCAGTTGATAGAGCATGTCAAACACTTGGCCTCCAATAGCCATTATCACTCCAGGAAGCATCTTCTCCTAAATTGCAGAAAAATGAACAATTTTTATTAAGAAAAATTGCTAAAAAAAATAAAATAATAAAAAAAATAACAATATCAATCTAATCATCACCACTTGTAAATGCCGTATTCTTTCTGAACAGGGAGGTTACATAATTTGATGTTTTATATCATGAAGAAACAAGATTCCATTCTGGGGTTGTAAAATAAAAGCAATTTTTATGCTTAGCTTGATGGTCAAATGGGATTTGAACTTTAAGAAATAGAAATCAAGAAGAGATTACATTTTGCTTTGAGATATAAAAAGTCACATCCACAAATTATGCAAGAAATTTGTTGCTCAATATTTGAAGGACTTAACTAAAAAGATCAAAGTCAGTAGTCAATCATATAAAGAATATAAGAATAACTTAAATGTCAGATAATGTAGGATTCTTTAGCAAAGGGCAGCAACCAGTTGACAAGAGTAAATTTTTTTTTATATCACAAGAATGAGTATGATAAGTTGGAAGATAATTTTGACATCTAAACATAAATCATCGAAAGTGTCTTTGAATAAAGCATCAGCTTGAAGAGGACTTGATTCTTGAAGCATAGACAAATTAATCAAGTAAGCATTTATACGTCTATGCAGATATTTCCAAGGCATTAAAATTTTAGCTAAGATAGAAAAATATTCTGATTTAAAAAAAAATATTTTTGAATTTCAAATAAAAAGAAAACAAAAAGGTAAAAAAAAAAAACAAAAAAAAAAAATGTCTTTAACACAGAAGTAAAAATTTAATTATTTCAAAGAATTTTTAATGATTGTGTCAAGAAAAAAAAAAAAAAAAAAGAGAGAAATCTTAATGAATTAACAAATCCTAATGTATTAACAAATGATATAAGAAGAAGAAATTCTTTACCTGCTCCAAATCAAAACTTTGCTTGTTTGATGGACTTGCGAGTAAAGGCTGAAAAGGGAAAAAAAAGAAAGAAAAAAAAAAAAAAAAAAAAAAAAGTTATTTCAACTGTTTCTCACCAATGATTTGAGTCTTTATTTCTAGGGGGAAAAATTCTGTTGATAAAACCTTCTAAGAAAACCAAGAGAGGGTTTCAAATCAAACTGTAACTTTTACAGAATTTTACATTTTTAAACACAAATCTCAGTGAGTCCACATGAAATTGTCTGATTTTTGTAAATAAGCTTGTCTTATTCCAGTTGTTGCAAAGAACTAACATCTAGGAGAATTATTCAAATGAATTTAATAATTGTTGCTAATCAGCTTTTCTATTTACCAACTTGTTTCACATACTGAAAAAAAGGTTCACAAATCTTGCCAGAAATTGTAAATTACCAGTTTGCAGAATACAATATTGCCCTTTATAATGCTTTTATCTTGATAAGTCAAGATTTAAAATCTTTTACCAAAGATAAAAAGAAAATTGCACTTTGTTTTGTAATTAATGAACATTGAAAGATTCACTTTCTTAGTTTAAATATATGTATATAAAGTATCTTTGTTGTTTATAACAACATTTCAAACAATGTGTTCTTTACCTTTCCTTAACATTTATAATGTTGTGGTAACTTTACTTTTTTTTTTTTAATTAGTCAATTTTCCATCAAAACTAAACTACTTTACATTCAGCCCAAAGAAAGAGCTGAAAAGGAAATGCTGACAAGGAGTTGGTACTTTTTAGGGAAGTAGAATGAATATGGTATGAAAAAGAAATATTAGAACCCCCACACACACACAAACTCAATTTTTAAAATTTTTTAGAACATTTAGAACAGTTGAAATCAGGATAGTTGACATTTGTGTCAAGTGTTAATTGTGTGTTTGATTTATAAAGGTCATCAAATATTTTGTTTTTCTTTTCAGAAACAAAATTCATTAACTAGGAATAAAAAGGGAAGAGAAATTATAATAATAATGAGTTGAGTTGGCAATAAGCATGACACTTCAATAGATACAATCATTGCTTGTATTGTTCTTACAGATCTGATTTTCCCAGCTTACATTCATGAGGCCAGTTGACATTTGGCTCACAACCAAAATAACAATGTTGGCATCACAAGCAATTAACATAATCTTAGTTGGAAACATAAGAAAACACTGAATAGAGTGAAACTATCCAATCTTTCTAATCAACAAACCAGACTGGTAAATATGTTATTTCATCAACAAGTCTTTTCTTATGCTATTTGCAATCAAATTAATATCCTCATTTTCATTGTTATTATAATGTTTTGGTCAATTTGCCTGCCAACTTTCTTCAGGTGTCTGTCTGTTCTTGATTTTTATTGAAAGGACCCACTGGAGTTATTTTTGAGTAATATTTCTTTCATAATAAATTCAATTACTTTATATTGAATCTCTCATTGTCAACAGCAAGACTCAAACTATCTCTTATCCTTGTCTTAACCAACTGATGTTAAAATCAAAGAATTACTCATAAAAAAATTAATAATAATTAGCACTGCTTCATTTAAGAAATTCAAATATTACTTTTTGTAATGTTTTCCTCCTTCATCAAATTTATTTTTTACAGGTTTGGACAATAAATTTCTGATATCAATTTCATAACATCTTTTGATAGGCTTGGCAAGAACTACCAACACTTGATTTTGTCTCCATGGAACTTTTTAGTGATTATTAAAAATTAGTGAGGAGATGTTTGAAGTTAACAAATCTTCCCACATTCATTTCATAAAACAGTAAATCTATTTCCATATAACAAACAATGAATCAATAGTTAAACTAGAAGACAATCCTAATTACTATTTGCATTTATTTGAGTATGATGTTGATACAAAATACAAGTAGAATTAGATATCCTGAGTCAAGATTGGTAAAGACCACCTAAAAAGCTTGCACAACATTCAATTGCTTTAAATGTTTTCTTTGTACAAAAACTTCTTTAGGACATTTTTAAACTCTTACAAAGAATTTATGTTTAAGACAAAAAATGGTAAACTGAAAAAGCGAGAACAAGACTGTTGCAGCTCTTACTTTTCAGGAATGATTTACCTGGTCAAATCGGAAGCATTCTTGAACCTAAAAAAAAAAATAAATTCAAAACTTGATTCAGAAAAGAGGAAAATTTTGAGAGAAAATATTTTAGAATGAGAAAAATCCTTTCAGAAAGAACAATGAGATTACACATTTTTACTTTTTTAGATTTTCTGAAAGTGATATAAAACTTAAGGTTCCAAGAGAATAAAATGGCTAATAACAGAATAGTAAACTATTTTTGACACAATAACAACTGCAAGAGTCATATATCATTAAACACAACAGAAATGGTTCTTCTGCTATCATTGAGAAATAGAAATCTTCTAATACTTGGTGGATTGTAAAGTAACAGTTATTTACAAAAACGCAAGAAAAAACTCAGGTGACTTTTTTAAAAAGAATTGTTTAAGTAAAAAAAAGTAAAGAAGCACTTGTCTATTTTTTTTTAGCTGAACGTTTTTTTTTTGTCAAAACTGGATAAGAATCAAATGTCAAAAGACTTACTTCCTTCACCTGATTATTGGGAACGCCACTAGAAGAAGAAATGCGGACCTGCAACATTTGGGTGTCTTCAAAATCCAATTGATGCAGTAATTTTTGATCTTTATTGGAGTTTAACTGAAGAAAAAGCAAAAAAAAATTGTTTTTTTCTGATTTTAAATGAAAAAATGTAAAGAAAATTATCCAGGGAGATTTTAAAAGAATTCTGATTTGGAATATTAGAATTTTTAAGAATGAAAAAGTGAATTTGTTTTTTATTTGTAAAGTTAGAAGTTACCAAAATTAAAAAAAACATTTAAATGATCATCAACTTACGAGCTTTTCATTTGCTACAATCTGAATGTTATCAACCAATTGACGAAGGCGACAAGCAACTTTTAACCTCACTAGTCCCAGCATTTCATTACTGTGACTCTAGAAAAAAAAAAAAAAATGTTTGCTTGATGACATGAAGAAACAATTTTACATTCAAGTAAAAGAAAAAAATTTGAATTGGGAAATCAAAAAGTTCTGATGAGATTATATTAGAGAATTATTGCATGAAACTCACCAGTAACATGAATTCCTGCTTTGGTGATTCACAAGTAATGTAGAGATTGATTTGTTGGCCTTGGAAGGATGTTCCATGGGGAAGGATACTGCGAGGACTAACATGGGCTTCTTCTACATTCAGAATGTAAGCTTCAGCAATCCACAAAAGACGTTCAATGTTCAGCAGTTTCACTGGCCTAACAATAAACATTGCATTAGATAAACATGGAATAGCCAGTATATCAGATATACAGTTTTCGAATCAAAATTTTTTTCCTAATATCTACTCTTAGCTGTGTAACAAAGTTAGGTAGGAGAACAATAAGCAATTAAGCTCATTAGCACAAAATGATTCTTAAAATTATAAAAGCTTAGCAAACTGGTTGTTGGATTATCCCAAAATAATCTTATATATTAATAGCCGATATATAATAGCTAAAAATATAACTAATACCATTGCTGTAAGTTCTGCAGAGGCTGAAAGAAGATTTTCTGTGACAAACATAATTTATTCTGACAAAAGAAATAGTCTTGAAGTTAAAAATGTTGCAAATCTTCTAGTTATAAATTTGATAGGTCTTCCATTGGCTCTTTGGGACTGCAGTGATTCAGTTGAAATGTGACTAAGAAACCATAACACAGCTGATGACACTAAAGCATCATAATTCTGAACAGAAAGATGATGAGAACAGAATTTCAATCTGAAAATATCTTAATAAATAAATGTTTTATATTTAATTATCAAAATGCTTTAATTCTTTTTGATACTATATCAGGTGTTTTGTTTTCATTCTCAGTTTGAAAAGAAAATAAGCAGAATAGGTTCCTAAAGATTACCTGCCTTTATAGAACCGGTTCCTAGAAATTTGGGATGCCATTATTGGATACAGGCATTTTAGATGAGAGGAAAATGGTTAGCAGACATATTCAGCTGGGACTGGGGGTAGGGGGAGATCACTGCTTGAGAATTTGCTAAAACTCAACTAAAGAACAACAAACTTCTATCATCGACAAACTTCCTGTTCCAAATACTTTGTTATTCGGTTATTTTGAATTTAAATACAAAAGTGTTTTAACATTTACTTTATGCCTTGTTTCTATTGTTGAGATGATTGTAATGATAAACGTACACAGGTGTAAGCTTTAAGAAAGCTTTATTCAACTGAGAATACAAGGTTTGCGTATAGTGTCCTTTTATAGTCCCAGTAAACAGAAATAGCTCAAAGAGGAGAGTAACAAAACAAGGGGAGACAACTCTTGATTATTCATAACATTGATATTGATATACACAGCCACAATATCAACAGTGTTGGCTAAAGAATTTCTCATTGAAGCCTTGATCACACTTACAGATTACAGCAATGCAATAATTGCTTTCAAAATTGACTTTTCTATAGAGTCTCTTCTCCAAAAGTTTTTGATATTAGTTTTGTTGATGAAGATCATTCCTGTTTGTCATCAATGGAAGCCAGCTAAATGGAAAGACATTGTGGTACTAAAAGAAGCTGATACTTTCAACCAACTGATATTTTTTAGTTCATTTTGGATAGAAATTGCAGTGTTCCCATTCAGTCACATTAAGCTAAAAAAAAGGCCTTATCAATCTGATAAACAAAATGTAGATTTGATTTCAGGAGAACTGACCAATAAGTAAAGCAAACTGAAATTAAAAGCAACATTTAAATTTTTTCTCACAACCACAATTTGACAAATGACAGTTCAATGGTAGAAAAGATATTTTTTTATTGTTGGCTAGCAGCCATACCCAGCTGGTCGATCAGAAAAAGCATTCAATTAAAATAGAGCAAACACAGCATCATGTTTAGATGTAACA